AACACAATACGGTAGATGACTATCAAGTCAAATCAGTATCTTTTTGTTAAACGTCAAAACGTATATATTTTATTTAATGTTGATTTATAGATATCAAATCACGCTGTACTTTAAGGTATTACTGTCAATGATGCAGGCGAAATTATTTATTTTAAACCTAATCTTTAAATACCACTCTCCATGACAGTAGGTACATATTAGCATAATAACATTAATCCGTAACAACCAGACATTCTTAAAAAAGGAAAGACAGTACGTTACTGTTTACCCTGTAAGGAGGTCATAATACACAATGCATGTTTTTAAGGCAAACGATATTGGTATTCCAATTTCGATTTTCGTATGCCAACCCTACCTGCGACTATAGAAAAACCTGTTAACACATAACACGCACTACATTATGCGTTAATATACGTGTACTTATGGGACTACATGACATTTATGAACGTGGGTAAAATCACGCGCGTTAAAAAGAAAGTTATTGCACTTTAGAAGCGTTTTTTTTTAAATGTTATAGATATATAACATTCATCTTGAAGATATTTTGACTGTTCCGTCATAATTAATGTCTTGTTTCCGGCTAAGAAATGGAATTCGAAGTGGTGGCGTGGACAAGAGACCGATGTGCAATTTTGCATTTAAAACTCTCGCTAATATTGTCAATATTAAAGCAACAAATGTAAGGTTCCTGCTAACTTAAGTCGGCCTAAATATATATAGTTAGTATATTATATGTTTACGAGAACTCCATTGTGTCGTAGATTAAAAAGATACCGGTGTTAAGCGGATCTTTCCCCACCACCCTCAATTCTGGACCAAACAAAAACCATCTATGTGTCTTCGTTTTACTACATTATGTTATTTATTATAACTTACATAAAATTAGGGACGGATTAAATTACAATAACATGTGATAAATCATATGATATAAGAATCATATCATTACACAAGGAACTGATGTACAAAACCACTGCGACTCAATTATTAGCGCAAGACACGCGAAATACTAATAGGAATACTTACAATTATGGAAAAGCATATTTAACGGCAAACAGAAGCAGGTTTACATATTAGAAAATACTACAAAATTTTAAGTAGTATTTTAATACCAGTAAACATTGATATAATACTTACATAGATGAGTAATTACCGCCTAAAATCGTTGCTACTGCACATATGTCCACAGGCATATGCGTAGCAAACGTCAATTCATTATTCAATGTGGCGTCAACCGAGTTGAACATAGCGACACATGACAGTAACAATCGCCAAAATGGCTAAATGCGTAGTGAAAGAATGCGATTCAAGGTCACAAAACATTAATAAATCATGCGGAATTACTTTTCACGTGTAAGTTTATGATTTTTGTATTGATAATATCGTAAATAAGGCTATAATTGAAATAAAACACTGATAATTGTAATTTAGAATCAGTGTTACCATTAAAAAATCATTTTGGTTTTCCCACATTAGTGGGAGAATTTATAATTTATGAAATAATATGCTTTATACTGTTTTTAAACATTTTGCCAATAATAATAAAATATAGGAAGAACGGTAGTTGTTAGGGCTGGACCGATCCCTTTTTTTAGGGACCCGTTGAACGTTCACTGCGAGCTTGGCAGAAGTGCCAAGCTCGCAGTGCTGGAGACTTTTGTACAAAAAAATTAATTCATTGTTTTTCTTAATTTATTATCAATTTTAAATAATAATTGTACAAAATAATCATAATAATAAGATACAGAAGGCAGTCCTCCTTTACGCGGCTCGTATAGTGAGTAGGTTCCTATCTTTGCAGTCCTAACCACTGGTGTCCTGGTACCTGTACCCGATGTCGGTGGTCTACTATTTTTTTATATTTTTAAATGTATTTTTATTTCTTTTGTAATATATTTAAAAATGTAATTAATATGTATATATAAAATTTAATAAAGAGAATAATAATAAATGTTTATCATAAAAATAAAAATATAAAATAAAAAAGTAAATAAACATAAATATTTTTTTTTATAAAATAAAAATAAAAATATTTTTTTTTTATTTGTTTTTTAAATTATAATAGAATTTGCAATACACCCTGGGGATTATTTATTATCAGTACAAGTTGATCATTCACTTTTATTATTAAATGCTATTATTTTTACATACGTAAAAATAAGAGTGTATCATGAAAGTAAAATATCCACACAAACTTATAAAAAAGAGTCTAAAAGACAATTGTATACAAAACTGATGCTTCACAGCGCAGTTTGATATTACACTGAATATAAACCCTTTTAACCAAATATTTCCAGTTATTTTATTATTTATACCTATTCTATTCAATTCGAAATATATTATTTAGAATATTTAAATTAATTTATTTTATTACAAAATTGTTTAAAAAAAAAATTGTTTCTTAGTTGTTATGGGTAAAATTTCATACGGTAGTCAACACTGGCCCACCATCGTAAAGTTATATCTTTGTATTTGTCTAATCCGAGCGATGGTATTGTTCTTGTCTCGCGTGTAAATGAGACATAAATATGTTTACTTTCAAATGTTTAGTGGTATCAAAGCTACGTCGTCAAAGTTCAAAAGTGGTTACACTTTTTTCGACGTGTGATAATGAGGTTTGCTTCTCTAGTGTTGTTTTAACTCAATGCCGGTAAAGGTCAGATATTCATATGACGTTGTAATTTGACTCTGCTACAGTACCACGAATGCCGCGCCAATGAATCACATTGTATGCCGAAAGTTCGTTTAAACTTTTCAATCACAAAATCTCTGTAATGGTTTCTTATCCATATAACGAAAATAAAAAGTATGTATAATATTACTGTTATTCCTATTATCGATTACCTTGTTCAAGTCACCGATCGTTTTTTTTTTTTTGACGTGGGTGGAGATGCTATAAAAAGTAAAAAGAAGCAGCCTAATTAAACACTTCAATTTTAACACTACGCAACTAAATGAAAACCTATTTGGTCCCTAACATTAGAGTATTTGGCGAGAACTAAGGTTTCAAGGCACAAGTATAAAGTATTATTATTATTAATAATACGAAAACGGTTAATTTCTAGGTATATCTTATTATAAATGTTAGAACAAAAGAACAAAAATTATAAATTTTGTAGTTAAAAATTTACTGTGACGAGGAAATATTCCTCAAACTGCAAAAGTTAATTTTTCTGTTAACACAAAAAAAAAACCTGTAAAATTTTTAGCGAATTATTTTCCTCTGCATAGAGAATAAAATGAAGTCGTAAAAAACATGTTTTTGTGCGCTTACATGCAAGCGCTGACTGTGAATATGGGTACGATGGAATTGTATAATCTTAAAACGATCTACAAAAAAGTCCGCGATGGTATATGTCTATCTCTTCAGGACAACCCACAATAATGGGTAATTTACGGAGCTATTTTGAACAATACAGTATTATTCCTTATCCAAATAAATACGTTTGATACGTTGTACATCCAATGTAGTTCAAAATTGCCTTTTCCAGCATATCATTAAAATAAATATCTGAGTAGATATCAGAGATTTAAAATGCGGGGCAAAGCGGTCGTCTCTGCGTCATGTTGGGATGTCTATTTTAGGTAGGGCTGCCATCCGTCCGGGTTTCCCCGGATTTGTCCTAGTTTGAAAGACGTCCGGGGAGCGTCCGGGCGGGTTTTAAATTGCAGTCCGGGTGCTACCCGGACTACAATAAAAGTCCGGTTTTTCGATCATATCCCGTTCCTATAATGTATGTAAATAAAAGCTATAGGTTAGGTATTTCACCGCACGCGCTGCCCTTGTTAAAGAAGTTTTTATTTTATTTTATTAACTGAGTAACTAATATTGGGTTTACGACTGCCTTTACTAGTCCACTGCTGGACTCTCCTTAGAAAGGAGGTTTTGGCCTACTATACCACGCTGGCCAGACGGGTTTCTTATAGGGTTTGTTTCAGGTTTTCCTTCTCTCTGCAGTGCTGTTGTCCTGCGTAGTTTGCTTCCTTAGTCGTCTCTTACGACACCCACGGGATGAATAGGGGTAGTGACACTCTGTATTCTTAATCCATCACTACACGGACAATAATTATTGGGTATGTTTATTTTTTATTTAATGAAGGTTTAAAAATAAAGCAAAATGACTCACTTGTCGTCACAAGAACGATTAAACACACTATTTTATGCAACAAAAAAAAGGCTTAAAATTAAAGTTTTCTTCTATCAAGAACGGCGTCAAATATATTTTAATCAAGATGTAAGTGAATGAAAAAAGTATTGAAATGTCCGGGATGAAAGCTCCAAAATCCGACAACCTACGCTTCAGGTCCTGGGGGGCAGGTTTTAAAGATGGCAGCCTTAATTCAAGGAGATAGTCTTTTCAAAATAATAATATAATTAATTACTCCACACTTACACCACATTGCACCTTCGCACGGGTAGATCGCGTATTTATTTGTATTCTAAATAACTTAAAAAAGTATCAATGACTTCAATAGGTCAAAACCATGATAAACTTTAATAAGCTGTATCCTTCGTTCTGTTCATTTCCTAGTCTAAAAGGTGGAATATCTTTCTTTAAATTTAATTGGAACTAATTTTGAGTACAACCTATTTTATAAAAAAAATATTGTAGATATCGATTAACAAATGAAGATATTACATAACCAACATGCAAAAAGGCAAATTCAATCGAATTCTTGAAGTCGGTTAAAAATAAAATGTATTTTTACAACAATATTTTTTTTAACATTATTCTATTAATAAATTGTAGATTTTTAAAACGTTAATAACTTTAGTTTAAACAAATATAAATATACTAGTTCATGCTACCTAAGCAGCAATCGCGCTTCGATCATTCCACGACTGAATTGTCCAATACCCTGTATCCCGTTCATCCTGTTGGAGAACTATACTGACAGCATATGCGAAGATATAACAAATAATCTAACAGATACAATGGAGTTTTATTGTACAAAGACATAATTACGTTTTCTTACTCCACACTCAAATAATAGTAAACAAAATGACGGAGTATTCTCATACAATAATAGTAAGAAGTACTATGCATTAGTCCATACTATGTTTACTATGTGATGAACAAAAAAGAAACAACAGCACTGTCATCGCATCATAGTAGTTTCTAGACAATAGCATATAGTAGTACAGAGGTGGTACATTGTAATGACACCACCCCGTAGCGACGCGAGGGTGTGCGGATCATCCGCCACAGTTCCTCGATATAAAACGGCCGCGACGCGCAAACGCATCAGTTTGTGACGGCAGCAGATACACAACGCACGGTAAGTGGAACATTCTCTTAAAATCAAATTTTCCTAAAATAATTATTTTCCTATGTTAATCAATTTTATTTTAAATCTAACTAAACTTTTTAACGACAATTTGATTTTGGAGCCATCTAAAAATTACACAGGAATGTGTTTTTTTTTTACTACAGACTACACAACGTATTTCCAACAAAATATGTTTTTGTGAAGATTGAATATATTAAAAAATTAAATAAATTAATTTATAAATGTAAAATGTTACAAAAATAACTCTAAAATTACAATACGTATAACATTAATTTGTTTAGAATCTATTTAAAACATCTTATTGGGGTCTATTTGACCTCGGAAGTGTCGAGTGGAATGAACTTCTCTGGGTCCGGGGCAAGGTCGCTTTCTAACTGACACAGGACTGGGACCGGTCTTTGATACCTTGAGAGTTGCGTAATCATTCCAGGCAGTTTGTAAACAAATCTCCTGATCCCTTTTCTACACACTTCTTGATAATACTAGTGTAGATGTTGGCGCGTGCGTGTATAACTTACTTGCGTTTTTAGAACCCAAAAATGATTCCTATTTACTTAGTTTCACTTCATAGTTATTTAAAAAGTTTATGGTTAGAAAAAAAACGTGTCAACCTGTGGACCATTGTAATAAATAAATAATACATTTACGCGCTACAAAACTTGTAAGTTTTATTAATAGGTACTACAAATAGGTACTTAAATAGGTACTAAAATAGGTATAAAAGGCCCATTTATTCATATATTTGTACTTACTAATGTGTAATTTTGTTTTCAAGACCTCTTAATAAAAAGAAATTCGGAATAATCAAATTCGAAAGCTTATTCGAAATAGTATACTAAAACCTAAAATTAATATACGAAAACGTCATCATCATAACTCATAAAAAACAGTGAATTTATCACAAAATAAAATAAACAGTATGAACTTATTCGAATTAAATTTAAAATGTGTTATAACTTTCTAACGACAACAAAAAACATAACAATTTAAAAGGTGTAACGAGAAGCTTCAAACTAAGTGATAATATTGTTTTATTTTCTATAAGTCGATTAACAAGCTATGACACGACGTAGTTGAGCCCCTTGCGATCGCTATTCAAAAGCTGTATATACAGATATGATATATAAATATTTTAACTTAACATAAATACCACAGAATTTCAATTAAAATTAAAAAATATAGGTGACACTCAATTTTAATTGACTTGTAACATAACAAAATACTAAGGGCCCTCAAATGCCTGTTAAACCTTCGACTGTGTTTTTTTTTAATATTTGATGTCATCATAATTTACGTGCAGAATAGCAAGAATCGATTTTGAAATCAGTTATGGTGGTGAAGACCCGTTCACACATATGTGTTCCACAAACAGTGTGATTCATTTTTTCTAATGGTTACAATCCTAGGCACCGACTTCAGACAGACTAGAAGGTATCTATTGCTAGTACAATGTTACCTGTTATAGTGAGGATCGCACTAATTTTTTTTTTTTCAATTGGATTTGTAATTATTATTTAATTTTAAGTGTTTTTTTTTTTTTGTATTTTTTAAGGTCAGTTCAACTTTTTTTTTAAAGGATTCATTTTACAAGTAGTATGTTATATTATATTATATTAAATATACTTTTATAAGTCCGTTACTTTATTTAGATAAGGTAGTAAGATGTTAACTTTGAATCCAAAAAATATATTGTTTTCCACATTAAAAGACCCTTCCATCATCAACTCAGCAACATGAGATAACGACTCATCATCATCATCAACAGCCTGTACTAGTCCACTGCTGGACATAGGCCTCTCCTTAGAAAGGAGGTTTTGGCCTACTATACCACGCTGGCCAGACGGGTTGGTATAGGGTTTGTTTCAAGTTTTCTTTCTCTTTGCAGTGCTGTTGTCCTGCTTAGTTTGCTCCCTTAGTCGGCTCTTACGACACCCACGGGATGAATTGGGGTGGTGACAATTTGTATTCTTAATCCGTCACCACACGACCAAACGCAAATACCTGTTTAGCTAGAGAAACCAGCTAAAACACGTTGTCAGGACTGCAAAATTTAAGGCTTTCCCTAGATTTCTCTGGAATCCCATCATCAGATCCTGATTTGGTGGTAATGGGACCACCAAGAATTTTGAAAATCGATCCACTTTTGTGTTTTTGAAATCGGTTAAAAAGATGTAAAACTGAATACGCATTAATAATATTATTATTTACGGAGTAAATACGTATTGCTGATATAAAAATTAAATATTTAAATTTCTGGCTTGCTTTAGATACGAGCATTATTAAGTGCTAGATTTTTTAAAAACACGTTTAGTTCAAAATATTCAAGTCTTTCTTCCAAATCTCCAGGAATAGTCCTAATTATTGAAAACACTAAATATTGATGGTAATACAGAAACAATTGACTCTACTCATAATAAAAAGCCTTGTGCTTATCTATTGAACAACTAAATTTAGTAAATGTAAAGTAGTGTAGTAAATGAATCTTAATGTATCCGTTTTTTAAAGTTATAAAAGGTAATTAAAAATAACGTAAAAGTGAATTAAGTGTAATATTTAAAAATGGTTCACGAAATCGAAAAAAGGCTTTATATTCCATCAAGATTTTTGGAGAGGACCTATCCAACGTCATCTATGGTATGGACGAAGAAATAAATCATTCCCAGTGTATACTTGTAAGAGAAACCGTAAAATTTTATTGTATGATTTTGCCATCGTGATTAATATCCAAACTCATGCTAAAAGCAGCTTTTTAGTACTAACAGTCTCTAAGCTAAACCGCGGACATACGATCGGTGACACAGACAGATATGGAAAAACGAGAACTGCATAAACTATAGTCATATGATACTGTAACTATTAGTGCATACCTATTATATTTTCCTAACATAAAAACAAACTCATCAGCTTTATTATATTCAAAGAGATACAGGTAAAAGTACAAAATTAGACTAGATTTGTTGATGGTTAATAAACTCAATCAAAGAGTTTATTACAGTTAGAGCCAGTCAAAATTTAAATGCATTTCTGTTACGAGTTAATTGCTGTTGAATTTGATGTTAATTACAATAATTGAGTTGTAATTCTACATAAATATTGGTTCGGTGTAAATTTGATTTAGTTTTAAGTAATTAAGTAAGGAATTGTCGGTCATTAAGCTTACTCGATTTCGAACAACTATTTGAGATGTAAACTGAGAGCTTAATTCTAGCAACAGCAGTGATTGCTGTTATATCCATATGTTTTAATGTGTCTAAATAAGATCAAATAAAAGTAGTTAGGTGCCACATAATATGATCAAATACTTATATTGATTCCAAACTTTGCAGTTTGGAAACAATACAGCAGTTGCCTATAATTACAATAAACTTATTTAAAAAGATGACACGAATTTTCGTGTAAATAAGATTGATTATTATTTTCTAGTTCCACTCGAGAGCAAGGTTTCTGAGTCCCTTAGAGATACTCGAACCTCATAGGTTTCATACAAGTTTCTACAAAATCAATAATTTTGGCGTTAAATAAAGAGAATCTGATTTGACTTAACAATTAACGACGCTGTTGTTTCTGTACTTAGAATGCATGTCATTTCCGTATGTTTATTCCTAAAAACACATTCAAGACCTGACCATCGTAGCGTGTTACAGTAATGTTGTTGTGTAGGTGGACCGTCTTTTTCCAGTCAAACCCGTTTAGTTCAATTTAATTATTTACATTTTATTATATAACTACTTATACTTTGAATATTTCTAACTTGAATCTGCGAACTATCAAAATAATCGTATAAGGTCAATGTTCTTCTTTTTTAGTAAAAAGAAGTTAAACTATTCATGTATAGGAGTAATTTTTACGACGACGTTGATGACGGCTGTGCATGGTTTACCATACATACCTACTATACATAGCTGTCATTGTATCAAATCTGGAATGATATTCACATACCACTACTAACTAGCCCCTACCAGGTGCTAATTATCTAACTGTATTATTGAGGTGAGTGAGATGAGGAAAGGCAATTGGCATTGAAATTGTTAAATCATATGCTAATTTGTTACAGATAATGCACAGGCTGTTAATCCTCACCTTAGCCGCAGTGGCGCACGCACAGTTTCCAAATGGCCGTGTCTTAGAAGCTCCGGTGCCAACTCTGTGTGCTACCAGAACAGTCCATGAGAGATACATTGACAGTAAGTTACTCAGATATTTGGTTGGAGTTGGTCTAATATTGTACCACCTAGCATCACTCCACTAACAGGAATATTCAGTAGAATCACGATAATACGATTTCAAAATAGTATGTCGCGCAACACTGCCTAGATGCGGGTGTTGCAAATTTTGATTTCCCGCCACGCTACGTAGTATCTTATCTTTTAAAACATAACTCATTAGCGTACATAAGTCTGTTTATTAAAATTCTAAAAAATTCTAAAAAAATTCTAAAAAATTGTCTAGTAACAAAAACAACCTTCCAATTAAGAAAAACGTTTTATATTTTATAAGTTTATCTATATACCTACCCCAAACAGAATATCCTATTTATTAGTTGGAAATAAGTTCAGTTGTGTTTCAACGCCTAAATTAGTGACTTAAACTCATCTGTAAATTTCCTAACACATATTGGTGAACACAGTCTTAGACTTCAGATCATGAAATCCAAAGGAAATACACTACCGTTACGTCATGCTTTAGAATTTAAACAATCAAAGTTACGTCGTCCTTGGGGATAAATATCACATAAGTCAACTAAAAATGCTAAACATATAATGAAAAAGCATTTAAGTGCTAGGCAAAACTTTAGTTTCAACAAGGAAAGAGGTGATGCCACGAACCGCCATTTAAAAACGTACTCGATGACCTTTACACATCTTCAACTTATAAACCAACTTAACAATGGGTATATAACCAAAATTAATGAGTAAATTTCTAATCTTCCACTACACTTCCGTTTTGCATTATCTGAAGGAGAATCCGATTGCATCTCTGAGGAAGAATATATTTTGCACCATTGAAAGTAACAGTTTTTTATTTTTATTTATTGCAACGTCCACACAACACTTGATGGCCTTTATTCTTAATATTTTTTACGATTGAAGGCTTTGCACATCGCTTAATGAAGGTGTTTCGCATAATAAAAGGCTCAGTCTAAATATGTACCTACAAGTAAATTGCTAATTGAACTTATTAATATTTACCACGCTATTTAAGGAAGTAGGTAGGTCCTACTTCGTTTACTTTCAATAGCGTTACCTCATACAACCTCATTTAGAGCATAAGCCTATTGAAATGTTGCCAGGATTCTTATGGCACACGTTCAACAACTGGGCCCAGGAATATGTACCAACATATTTAATATTTTGCCTAGTCTATATAAAAGACATAAACGAGCTTTTTATATTTAGCAATGAAAAGATTTTTTTTTGTTAAATATGTAATATTATATTTACAATAATAATTTGGAATTAAATAATAACATTACGCTTAAAAAGCTTCAGACTAGTAACAAAAATGTCCAATTTCTCCATAGTCTGTTCAAAGGTATGTGAGCTGTAAGCCTTATCGCACAGCTTAGTGGGTCATGCAGGTGCCATGTGTCTGCGATAAGCCCCAAACTCAATAGAGAGAATCGCTAATGTTAAATATTTACAAAAGCTTTTTTCTCATAAAACTATGACTGGTTCCCTCATCGCCGGGGTTACGTCTCTTATCTGACTTTCTACTGATAAACCTCATTAGTAAATACTGTTCTAAGGATAACTGGCTAAAATATTTGTGAAATCAGTTGTTCTATCTTCCGCATTGCAAATAGAATTCTGTTATGCGACAGGTATTCGAATGATAAATACGATACAGTCATCGTTAACGAGGAAAAACAAAATGGTTTTGAGATACTTGGTTGTATTCAAAACATGTCATACCTATATTAAATATTACGTCAATGCATGATGTCGATGTTTAATATAATATCATTTTATTTCTGATGCCTATTCAATCCTCTAAGTCAGAATTGGTAGACAGAAGTTTTAGAATAATACTTAGGTATTTTCTAAACATACAATTGAGCTTTGTTATATTAAGACACACAGTATTATAACATTGGAATGAAAATAGAACCATTGATTGTCTTTACTACGAGAATAGAAATCATAATATTATCGAACTGGGTGTAACGTAGAAATCGTTTTCTAGTCAAGTTCCCACGCGCCATAGCATCACGACTCGGCGAACCTGCGGGAGAAATTTAAAGTATGTCTAGTAAACTAGCGTAGGGTTAAAGGTTATATAAAAGCCAGCGACAACCTGTAAAAGACCTTCTCGTACACCAGTTGAGTTTTATTTAGACAATTCTCGAAAAGAACAAAGTGATAACAACGTGCCTTCTTTTGAAAGCAGGGTAACCTAAAGGTTTCTTTTATTTTCCTAATGACTTACACAATAGTAGTTTTATTTATTTATTTATGACTTTATGCACAAATGTGTACATCGGCGGACTTAATGCCTAAGGCATTCTCTGCCAGTCGACCGATTGGGCGATGCGAGTTTTCCAGTGAACCTTTTTAATAGGATAGCTTTGGTAACCGCGTGATTTTGTTAATTTATCATGTATTATTTGCCCTCGTTATTTTTGTTTGCTTTTGCGGATAGTTCCGCAAAAGCTAACGTCTCAGACAATAAAAGTTTGTTTCGTTTGTAACACAACATTTAAGAATAATATTCTATTGTATAGGTGTACCATGTTTGTATTATAATAAATTAAATAACTTTGGTAAGGCTTAAGGTAACTAAGGCACTAGGTTTAATTAACCGGAGATATTGATATTTCACGCAATCCTCAAGATCAACTTGCAAATAATTACATTTGCAACATATTAAGTGTAGCTGTAATTTAGATAACTTAATAGCTATACTTAACCAGCCCATAAAAGTTCAAGTGAAGAATTCTGGAATTGAGTGGTGTGTAAACCTTGTGTTCAAGTATAGAGAATTACCACATTACAGTAATTTCGAAATGATTGAAAAATTGAAATACAGTCTACACTCTAGACTAAATAGGTAGGTAATCGTTATTGCAAATGTTCATAAGATCGTTAACTATTAGTTTTGTTTGACTCTTGTGCATTAACACTAAATCCTCAAACATAAATTACATAATAATATACAAAACCTTAAGGACTGCGTAAGACTGGAGATTACTAATAGCTTGGAAAGTGCTTTATGGAAACCCAATAATTAGAACTCTAAACCTGTCGAAACTATTTTTGTTCATGTTGTACCTATGTATATAGCAGTAAGTTGGACATAAGAGAGCATCAACTGTAATTACCTACTTAAGACAGCAGTTAGACAGAAAACCAGTAAGGTAGGTTTCTAAAAGAGGGATTGCATTGGTAACTTATATTTGGGCACTGCGACTAACTAAATATCAGCTCAGATTAAACATAAAAATGTATAAGCACTTTTAAAATTTAAATTAAAAATTACTTTTATTCCTTTAACACAGCGCTGAAAGTCATATGCAAGTATTTTTCTGCTGCTAAAATGCAATAAAATTCAAATCTCATTTTTACTTCTTTAAATTAGTTCTCTTTATTTATTTTCTACTATACTCCCTGAAATGTGTACGGACTTAAAGCACACGAGCTACAAGCTCAAGTTGAAATATCTGCGACTGGCCGAGCACTAATCCATTCTTCCCGAATTGTTGCTTACTAATAGGTACCCACTAGCAATTAAAATATAATTGTGTATGAATATTTCAAAAAGACAAAAGAAAAGAAGATAATATTATTCGTTTTAAAATTATCTTGCAGATAAGGGATATTTTTTCTCATGGAAAGACCCTAACCTTCGCGGCGTAGAAGAGGACTGGTTGAGTGCTAGAAACTTCTGCAGACAGCGTTGCATGGACCTCGTCTCGCTAGAGACAAGTGACGAAAATGAATGGATTAAGTCATTCATCACTAAGGACAAGGTAAGAATCAGTTTAAGGTAAGAATTTAAAAAAATTAAACTGCTAATTGGCTGACTAAGATAAAATGCTAATATTTAAATAAGTATTACAATTGATCCTTGAGTTATATAAGTGTATAGCAAGGCAATACACAAAACGCACACGCGTGTCATGAGTTCAAAGCATAAGGAAAACAATTGGGACCGTGACGCGAAAACATATCACTTTTTCAAAGCTAAGTAGAAAGTATTGTAGGTACCTATACAATGTATACATATAATGGTGTGGAATATCTAACGATGACAGTTTTCGTAATGCCTACTTTACTACAACTAAAGTTTACTTGCGTGAAATACTTATTTTACTAATGGGCTACATTAACAATGGTAAATTTTTGTCATACGAGGCTCTTAGATAAAAGAATAGTTTCAGGAACGTGACAATAATGACGTCGATTTTTCTTAAACGAGTTTCTCAGCTGTTATAGACTGTGTTTCGCATTACGTGGGAATTACAAGGTTTTGTTATATTGTTTATTTTTCTCTACGCCACTGGCAAGGAATTGCTTGTTAGTAAAACGTTTTAGAAATCTGTCCGTGACCTATATACCTACATAGAATAACGGTACCATTTTTATCTTTTGCATCATATTTTCAAAAGTCGTGACATTTTCACCATATTTTCAAGTCGTGACATTTTCACCATATTTTCAAAAGTCGTTACATTTTCACCATTAAAATATGTGTAATATAATATTGATAAATATTGCACATCACCAAGATATTCTAATTTTAAATCTGCATTCATCCCATAGATTGTCCGTGTGGCGACGGATTAAGAATACGGAGTGTCACCACCCCTATTCATCCAGTGGGTGTCATAGTAGGCCAAAACCTCCTTTATAATGAGCGAATAGGGCTATTCTTCATGACATAGGTCCAGCAGTGGACTACCAAAGGCTGTTGATGATGATGATTCACGCCATTAATTAGAAAAATTGACATAAGTAGAATTATTTATGCTTCTTCATCTGGCTTATATTTAATAAAGGCCTGAACAATGGCGGCAATTTTACTAATAATTTGCAATTTAGACAGCATTAGTTTAACAAGTCATAGCAATGATTTCGCGAATTTAGTTTGTCTTAATTCTTAATGAGCATCTTTAATATTGTTATTTTTTTATTGTGTTGTTCAGATACTGTTTGTAATGTGCAAACCTGGACAAAACGGTAATTATTCTGTTTACGTGTTCTCTTGAAGATTTTTATGTCAAGGCATAAATTCATACTATAACGACAAACCATTATTCGTATTGTTGACAATGGTTATTCATTATTCTAATGACAATGTAATTCCTATGGTAGCAAAAGTACATCTGGACATCGGGTCGTTTGTGCGACTTCAAAGGATGCAATCGCGCTGACTTGGTCCCCAACGAAATTAATGGCTGGTTTTGGACCGCAGAGCTTCAGAAGTTAGCTCCTACAACCAACCGTCAGCAGAATGACTGGTCCGAAGGAGGCGGCATAGGCAAACCTCAACCCGACAATAGGGTAAGAATGACTGTTTTCTAACATATCAGAAATCCAAACCAGGAATCGCTATACGAACTACACAATTGTAGGTAGGTAAATAAGAAAGCATGACATTACGAAATCCGTCATGTGCTGACGCAATATCTGGAACCAATTCCGTGAACAGTTAAGTAATGTTTTATCATAAACACTTAACAAACCTGTTAATGCATCTGTACGCCGGCAATAACGCAATGAAATCGAAAGTGACACGTGAATATTTATAGGCCTGCGAAATATTCGCCGAAGGGCGTACCCGCATGCATGTGGTTGGCTACTTTCTACAAACACCGACCGCAAGCTGTACAGCCAAAGCTCATCTTTATTCGGCGTGCGTTATCGGCGTCTGTCACTTTCCCCGTGTCGCGAGCGCAACCCGCGGCCGACGGAACAAACAATACGTAACCCTTGCGGTCGCACGCCTTAGTGCGCATCCTCCATATCCGTCATTTCATTACGTAGTCGTTAGGCATTCAAGGCCTCATGCATTAGTTATCTACGCAATAGACAGACGATAATTAGCTAAAAGGATTAATGTGTAATCAATTACTTTAAATTATTTGTACATAACCTCTTTAAGAGAATGCCATAGACTTAATTGGCTTCCAATAAATTTAATGATTTTTAGAATTTACCGAATCTATTTTTAAATTGACGCGCTTAAGGCTGTTCGCTTGGAGAGTAGATAAACTACAAGTTGCAGTTTGATTAAAGTTTATCTAACTGGCTTTGTATATTTGTGACAAAGTATATTTATTTGATCAATAACTCTTCTGAAATACTTAATAGCTCGCATGCCCATAACACTAAAAGGTATAAGAACGAAAGTATTAACACTTCCACTATTTAATGTATTGTCTATGTTGGTAGCATCTGTACATTTGATACTCATTTTGGGTCTATATTTAACATTATTTACATCCATTTATCAGGAGCTGATCCAAGGTGGTGCTTCTGAGCACTGCATAGCCATCCTGAACAATTTCTACAAGGACGGCGTGCACTGGCATGACGTTGCCTGCCACCACCGCAAGCCGTTCGTCTGCGAAGAGAACGATGCCTTGATCAAATACGTCAGATACACGAACCCAGGCCTTAGGCTTTAAGAAAAAAAAACGTACAATCTCAAATTATGTCGTAATTTATAGAACCAGTATTATTTAAGCTGTAAACACGAACAATTCGTACGATCTTACTTATCAACACGAAATAATTTTATAGAAATAGATAATCCTTGCTTAAAAGAACGTACTTTCGCAAACAGAAATATTGAAATGCCATCGTTATTCTATACGGTGCACAAAAATACACAATCATTTGGATTTCCAATACTACCACCCCAGTCCTAATGTTAAATACCTCTTACTTACATAAATATTTATTACAGTATTGTACATTGTAATTTTAGTCATGTAACTTTTACAGTCGAAGTGTACACAATATTATGTTTAAGTTCTGTCATTAAAGACTGTTATAATTTAAAAATGTTTATTTTTTCATCTAAAAGATATGGTGCAATTATCTACGAATCGACAACGGACTTACGTAAACTTACGTAATAATTAACCCTTCACTTCCTTAAAACCTTTCTTGAAAGCTGTCGTGGTTCGGCAAGCGATTTTTTTTTAATTAAAGAAAATTGTCTTTTAAATTGGTTGGGTTGCAGCTATGTACCGCGTACGCTACCCATTACGCATCTTTGGTACCCATATAGTGTACAGTAGGTACTTATAACAGAGTAACTGGACAAAATTTATGACGCACGGAACGGCAGCATATAATATTTAGAATAGGTACTTAATGTTTATGTAGTAGAAGTGCAGAAAGCTAAAATTTTCAGTGCTTTTAAAAATTCTTTTAGTATTAGATAGCCTATTTATCTAGGAAAGCTTGTTGAAACCTGTGCTATCTTCCTTCCTTTCTCGGCTCTTATATCATCAACTTTAATTCTACCTTATGAAGGACTAACTGATCCGCGCAACATTTTTCTTTGATGTTCCGCTTCTATTGGTCGTAGCATAATTTTATTATAGCCTTCCAAGATAATTGGAATATCCAACTCAAACAATTTCTCAATTCGCAAGAAAACTCTTAATAAAGATAACTTAAAAGTTGGAGCAGTTTAGGGGAGAGGGGGGAGTCGTTACTGTGTTCTACTGTTTGTTTTACAACTGATATAATAATTAGTAATATAAATGAGGTCCCTGACTGAATATAGACTGCGAACCTGATATTAAATTATTTATTCGAAGAGAAGAGAAGACGCTCAACACGCGATTTGATGTTTTGATTTCATGTTTGGCTTTTGATGTCATGTCATCAAAAGCCAAACATGAAATCAAAACACAAATGACATCTGCCCCCTGTTTGCCTCAAAAATACATTGAATTTCTTAAATTGGAAGGATTTGTTTTTTTTGGATTAGTCTAAATGACATGATTTTAGTATATATTTTATAATCTACTGGCTGACGCTGACCCGGCAAACGTTATTCTGTCACATAAACTATCAAAGAAATCGAACGTAAGTATTCTATACAAAAATACTGATAAATCACGATAAAAAAATTGCCGGTAAGAGGGTGAAAAATGATTTACGACCTATTCTTAAACCTGCCAAATATATTTGAAAAAATGATGAAATCTGTCAAGTGGTTGCGGAGGATTGCGACCACAAACATAATGACATGATATTTTAATATATTAGATTTACATTACATTTCCATGCACAAATATGCACCGAACACGGAAAACAACAGCACAACATTAGTACCGCTAACACTAAGAATATGCTCAATGATACAGTGGCACAAACACAGAAGATAAAAGACAGGGAGTCCACGCCAACCAGACATTTCCCAATTTTCAATCTTTTGGGATGAAAAAATGGATGCCTGGTTCACCCTATTGTAAGGCTTGCCCAAGTTTACCACAGGAGTGGTACTAAATTTTAATTTGCAAACTGCTTTACTTATTCTCTTCAATGAATGTATGGTAATTGTTTAGTACCTTTATTAATTTGAGGAAACCAGCAACAGTCTCTTTGAAGACAGGCCCAAGACCTACATAAATGGTTAACTACGTAATTACGATTAGGTAATATTATTGTAAATTAAGAGTTTTTGAGTAATTAGATAATGAAGAAAAAAAATTGAAACTGTAAATGCATTTATTTCAGCAATATGCTTTACAATAAAATTTGACCTTAAAAAACCCTATTGCACTATTTAAATGTCATTTACTGAAGAAATATTCTCATAATAAACTTAACAATTACTTTTTGAGTAATTATCTATAGCAAAGGACTTTGAAATAGTACATTATATAAACATTAAGATGGTATTGAGACTTTAAACCTGTATCTGAGCGACTTGGGCGACATTTTCTTGCTCATTATGAACCACAGGCAAACATTACCAAAGTAAACTAGAGTAAGCAGCATTGTGACGTGCATTATACGACAGAGACGGAGAAAGCTGAGCTTTAAGCTGAAACTGGAAATAACAAAGAAAACATACATGTAGATATCAATCAGTACAGATAAAGGAGCAAACAAGAGCACAAACAAGTCTAGTACATTTAGAAAACACTCTGCATAAGTGTTATATTCATAAAGATAATATATATATATAGACAGAGGAGAGAAGCCAGCCAAGGTCTCGGGACGTTAGTTGAAACAGAAAGAAGGCAGCGATTTACATGCATCTCTCTCACACCTCTTTGCTGATTTGTTGGCCTGAAGTGGTTGGCGTCTTCATTCTATTTCTACCAACCTGGCTATTCCACTTGCAGTCAATTCAATAACTTCTCCCCTCTAACTGTATTATCTCTACAGTTTTATTATGATAATACTTATCTTTAATCAGAGTTCAATTAATTTAGCTATTTGCTAGTTATTCATTGCTATTTGAAATACTTGATATCTATTAATATTCTTTTATTTGATTTGTATTTTTGATAATATAGTTTCTCTAGTTATAATTATATTTGTACACATTTTATGGTTTAACATATTGATACTAATGTTTGTTATTAAAACTAGTATCCTTTTAACTAAATAATATTGTACACGCACATGGTCTACAAATAAATATATCTTTATCTGTTTCAGTTGTGATATAATTATATTTCTCATATATACTGTAAGATAGTTATATGAAAGAATTGCATTACTAATCTTACTGTGACATATATTATGTAAGTACAATTCCTTATTATTTAAAACCTACTGCAGTCCCCAAAGTACAATCACCAAGTCTGATTGGATGATAATTGTTCTTTATATTGGAAGGACATTGCACTAGTCTCCATATTGGCCAACTTTGATTTATTTTTAATTACTCTTATCATACAAAAACAGCGATAATTTTCAACTGATAAATAATTGATAACATGAAAGAATGTTGGTATAAAATCGTAAAAATGAATCCATAGTTATGATTTGAAACAAATTGATAAAAAGAATATTGAACATTAATATTCACATAACTAAATTTTGATATTAATTATCATGAATAGCACTGGATAATTGAACATTACGCTGCTCTGCTAATCATCAATTTTGGAACAGTAGCTAATAGGTAGTTAGGGCATATTACTTACTCTCTGTTAGAAAAACCCTCTATAGTGCTATCAATTGATTCATGGGAGCTTTGTGGATCTGGCAGATTTGAAAAATCCTTATCAAACTGCTCTTGTAAGCAGCAAATTCTTTCCATAATGAACAGCAAAAGTATCGCCCAGAAATATTCAAATTCAAAAACCATGTCGTTCATTTTTTGCCTTCAACCATTATGATATGATAACCGAACTTGGTTTTAACAGGAGGGTTTGTATACACGGGGTTGGAGACTGAAGAAATAGGCAAGGCGAATGCTGCATCCTGAAATGGGCCGACCATAGAACCACGAGTCATCCAGCCTAGGTCACCACCTTGTCGCGCCTTGTCTTCGCTGTAAGCAGACGCTACGTCAGGAAATTTCTGACCGGCCTTTAATTTCTCCAACGCCTCCAAACATTTCGACTGCTTTTCGCACAATATGTGACGTACTTTGACAGCAGTCCCACCTTTTTTCTCTTTTCCAGCCGATTCTAAATTTAAAACAAAAAAGTTTGTAATATTTTTTTACGTATTATAGTATATTTCCTTTTAGAATAGTTAAAGTTTAAAATTTAAGAGTTATATTCACCTTTAGCATCAACCCCAAATGCTCCACTTTTAGTGGGGCCAGCGCCAGCTGATTTACTTCCTTTTTCAGGTTGCTTTTTAGGAGGCATATTTCACCCGATATATGGTAATCACAACCACGAATTTGTTTACTAATACAATGCCTTGACAAATATAATGTTATATTATTTTATAATTAATAAATTTATTTTTTCTTACATTTGAAGTTTCCGTGTTGTAAACTTAATCATAATGTTAGTACCTATTTAATATTACAAGACTTCAACAAACAAGTTTACTAACTTATCAGCTGTTTAATAAAGTTAGGTTATACCACAGAGTACAAGTTTTATTTCATTTCCCTGCTAATAGTGTTGTAAACCGACAAACTTTTATTTTCGATTTTTCGGTATTTGAATTAAGTCGTAAATTAGTAAACAAATGAGTAATTAATTAATTTCTAAGCTTAAAAAGTAAATTATGAATTAAATAAATCTTAGTTTACTGATCCAAATCCATTTTAAAATGATGAGGATGAGAAGTCTCAAAATTAGCAGTCTGTGGTCTGGTCCTATTCATTCAATCACCTTCCAACCGAAATACTATTCGTTCAATTGTTTACACTATTCTGCTTCACTCTTTGATTCAAGTATTATTCAGGATTGCTATTTATTTAGAGTTACGTGCCTAATTATTTGTTTTCATTTTAGAAGGATCTTTATGAACATTTTTTTTATCTAGTTTGTGTATCTTTAATCATGTATCATTTGAGTTGATTTTAAATGAATGGTCAGTGTTGCTGTTGTGTTGTTATTATGTTATGTAGTCGTGTACATATCCTTGTATATTAAATTTACAAGTGTTATTGCGAAACAGATACATCTCTCTGCCCACTCACCATGGGTATTATGTACGAGAAACGGCCCCTGAAGAGGCCTAAATTGGGTCCTCCCGATGTATACCCTCAGGAGCCTCGTCAAAAAGAAGACGAACTTACATCAACTAACGTGAAACACGGTTTCTCCACAACTCCACAATCTAGTGATGAGTTTGGAACGGCTAGAAATTTTAATTATTCGGCAACAAAGGTAAGTTTGCAAAGTTCAATAAACTCTTTCCTACTTAATTCAATCTACTACTTTCCTATTTATTTGTTTTATGTTCACATAATTTTGCAATACGCAACACTATAAAATTTATTATAATTGAAACACATTAACATTTTCTCAATTGCAGATAGGTCAGTTTTTCTCGAGTATATTATCTAAAAAAGAAGAACTGAATACTCTGCCTGACTGTGGGAGAAAGAGACAGCAAGTAAACCCAAAAGACAATTTTTGGCCAGCAACAGCTCGCACTAAAGCTCAGATTGAAGCATGGTTCAAGGATTTGGCAGGTAAATAAAGAGACCTACCAATATTTCTGTAGGTGTTATTGTAAACAAGGAATGACTAATTGTTATTACATAAAGGACACAGGAATATGTGACACATTTAATGTTTATATTGTCAGGGCTATGGAACATGAGCTTACAACCTACTTAAATACAGGAGTGTTAAGAAACTTGCTAATATCTATTGATCCCAATGTTTTTTATTAAAAATAGCTTAACATATATTAATACACAACACATACTTTGCAATTTCTATTAATTGGATATTAGAATCTAATTAACAAATTCATCTAAAGTAAAGACACATAAACCTTAGTAAAATCAATCCTGTTGAAAGCAGCCTTTGATCAAATTAAGATTTGAGATTTGATTAGAATTTGATACAGCAAATATTGCATTATCTGCTTGCTTCTTTTCACAGACGGTAAAGTTGTAAAATTTAAGTGTAAAAAATGTTTACTTTTCACACTCTATAAGCTTTTGTCTACTAGCCATGTATATATTTCCTTCGGGAGCACTTAACTACACTTCACTTTGTATGTCAACCACTGGTGTTGCAGAGCCCTTTCTTGCTAACTCATGTGTGGCATAGTTCCCGTGTCAATTACAATGCCATTAACCCTTTAGAGGCCAGTCCAATAAATTAAAGGGCATAGTTTAGGCAGAGGCAAAGTTATCAGAACACCCTGGGGTATTCTTATAACTCTTTAACTGCTCTGATGATGATGACTAAGTCTCGCAGTCTCATCCCTTTCACTACACAGGTCCTTAGCATCATCATTATAAAAATAATAAATTTACATTAAATCTTTCTGGAATTAAGCTCACAATTTCTGTTCCAATCCAACTAGAAATTTTAATGATATTTTGGCTAGTCAACTAAAAAAAAACAAACAAAAATATAATTATGTGAAGATGTAAAGTAGAGTCAAGTAAGTTATGCTGATTGCCTAAAAAAATTTAAAAACTTTCAGGTAGCAAGCCACTTTCTCAATTAGCGAAGAAAGCTCCAAACTTCAATAAGAAAGAAGAAATTTTCATAACTTTGACTGAGTACCAGGTCTCCATGCCTCGGGCAGCTTGGTTTATAAAACTTAGTTCAGCATACACTGTTGCTGTTTCTGAAGCTAAAATCAAGAAACGGCAACTGCCTGATCCTACCACAGGTATAAAAATTACTCAATCACTTTCCTCTTTCCATTTTTAAATATTCCTAAATGATATTACTGATACTTCAAACATTTTTATGAAAACTAAACCACAATTTTTTTTAGAATGGACCACAACACTAATAAAATTTCTCAAAGACCAAATACCAAAATTGGCTGAACACTACCAAAGTGCAGTTCCAGGCAATATTTCTGATAAGACACCACCCTCACAATCAGGTATGTAAAATAAATCATTACATATTTTTAATAGCTTTAATCTCTATTTGCGACATCTAGTATTGAGTCTGACCAGATTAAGCTGATAAATATTATAGTTGTCGGAACCTTTCCTGATGTACATCACAAAGTTAAGCAAAGAAAATAGGCAATCCTTCCCCATCCTAACGTACCTGTATTTTCTATGGAATGACCAAGGATTTACAAACCCACCTCACAACCATGTAAAGATCTATTATATATGACTGTGTAGCTGTTTAGAATTGTATAAAACGCTAGGATAACTAGTTAAACAATTTGTAAACTATATTACTAAACAATATTAATAATAAAAATTTCAAAAGAGTGACTTCAATACATGAGTGTACCTCACAAACTGTACCTTATTGAGTAAAAATATGTTTAAATGTTAAAAAATAAGAATGTTTAAAAAAATACAAAATATACATGCATATTCCCATGCATGTATATTTTGTATTTTTTTAAACATTCTACTAGTTATTACATTACCAAAAATAAATATAACACATCCAAAATATAAACCGTTAAGCAAAAAAAATTTTATTAAAATCACTATCATTTTGGGACAATTTGAACACGTCCATTTTGGCGCGCTTTTTTTGTGACGTCAGATTTCAGACGATGTCAATAACGGAGGGAGGTTCACAAAGTTTGTGAAAGTTAAAAAAGGGAGTGATAAAAATTAACTTATTATCATGGAAAAGCCAATAAAAACTTATTATAAATATTGTGCCGTTCCTTTGTGCCCAAATAATATCAAAACTGCACCTGACAAAGTATATTCAGTCATTGTGTTGAGTCTTTCTACACGGGAATTTAATAATTTAACACTGAAAACGTATTAGTTATTAACTTAAAATGAAACAAATAATCACCAGAAACCAAATATTACAAATACACACAACTTGTTGACACTCTTGACAGTGTAGGTTGACGTCACGTTTTATTCAACCAATAGCGTTGCGTTTTAGAAATTTGCGAGGGAATCTTAAATAAGACAATTTTTGATGATTAAATTTCACTATTTAATTATAATAAATTTTAAAAATAAGTGTATGGGTATCTTTTTTTAGCAATAAAAATTACAAATAAAAATATTTTGTCCATTTTGGTGTAACATGCATATTCCCTAGTGCAAACCTACTAAATATTAATGTAGTTTCTGACCTACATATGTAAGATACATTGTGACCTATATGTTTTTAAACACCTTTAAGACTATCAAGATAATGCCTATGAAAAATAATGTTTCAGGCCAAGGCACACCTAGCCATAATTCGTCAGGTAATCCACCAGGAGGGTCCACACCTAACTCAACAGTGCCAAACTCTATGCACTCGCCAGGAAACTCTAGCAGTAAGTAGTATATTGCTATTAATATTAATGTTTATAAGTAACATGAAATGAATTTTCATGTCAATTAATACTTCTCTCTTTCTCCTAACTCCTGAAAAATTACATTAAATATAACTCACAATTCAATTTTCATAGTAACAAAAATACTACCTACTGTACTACTGACCCTGCCACTAAAAAACGATTTATATGTGTATTTTAGCCTTAGGTTCTTCAACCCCTGGGTCAGGTGAAAGTACAGACTGGCGACAAGCTCTGAAGCTGTGGAACTACTGCGGCCGCCTCGCTAAGTATTTATTAGACGAAGGTCTGCTTGACAGACATGATTTTTTAACTTGGATCATTGAACTTCTTGACAAGAGAGCGCCTGATGATGGGCTTTTACGGTTAGTCATGAACTTATTATGTTTTATATCTGTTTGTCACATATTGGAATTGATATCGAAGAGTTATAGCTAAGGCTACAATTTGATTTTCTCATAGCAGTTTTTCAGTTAATTAAATTGATTAAGACACACAGAGGTTCATAATGTGGATAGAGCTTCTTAGCTCTGTTCATCCAAAGCAAATGTTCGTATTTGTAGTAACGGACTAAATGTTCAAACCTCCTCAAGGAGAGGTAGCAATGCACTAGTTACACCTCTTTAGTAATAAGAGTATTTTTAGGTAGCAATATCTGCTCAGGCTTTGTACCAGGTACAAAAATATTACTGGTTGGTAACAACAATTGCTAACATATTATTGTGCCTTAAAATAATGTTTTTTTGAAAATGATTTTTAATATTTACCTTATTGGACTTACTTGCAGGTTGTTTTTACCATTGGCTCTACAACACATGTCGGAGTTCGTCGGTTGCGAGAGTCTTTCTCGACGGTTAGCCACTTCTTGCGCAAAAAAAGCTGCGGCAATATGCTCAGTGTTGTCCGATACTACCCTGAGAACTCTAAACCAACCTGCCGTATTTTCCAAGACTACTGATAGAAATGCTGGTATGTTGTACTACCTATGTTATCTGTTATCCGATCAATATCAACTTTCCATTGTCATCCTGTTAATATACCCTTGTGGGACAATAACGATTTATTAAAAGGTCACTGGTTTCAGATTCCTCCTGGCTTTGTTTGACAATTCAATTGCAGAAATTATAATATTACCTGATTGACACATTTCTCCATCTTAAAATATTATTATATATACATTAAACTCTCATGGTAGGCTACTAATACTTAAATGTTCAGTATGGGAATTCTAAGACATTAGTAAACATTTTTAAACTATCAAATTTTCTAAGGCAAATTTTCTCTAGTCCATTGAATAATGAAATATCTTAACATGTTATTTTTCAGAAACAAATGGTCAACCGCTGTCACCAGCTCCCGAAAATACCGACATAAAGTCAAATATATCTCAAATTAAACGGGAGCCTACACCTATAGAAAACCAAGGAACACCGAATCCAAACCATTCTCTAGGCACGCCAAACCCCAACCACAGCCTCGGTACACCAAATCCCCTTGGCACGCCAAATCCATCTCAACCGATGGACGTCGTGAAAGAAGAGAGGCCTTCCACGCCTAGGGAGACCAAACCTACAATTAACTCTGTTGTGACGGCCGCTTTGAATCCTGTACAAGTTGGCTTCGGAGAAATACTAAACTGTGCTTATCATAGAGATGTCATTATTCAGCTAGCAACAATTTTGCAGGTACACAATTTTAACAAGCATTATGTTATTTGCCAATATGTGGCGAATGTCAATAGTGACCAGTTGCTGTCCCTAATCTAGTCTGCCCCTGTAATCCTGCAGTCTCAATTCCGTTTTTTGCATTATCAGAAATAGCGTTATAAAAAGAGACAGAACGAGGGAGCTAGGGCAAAGGCTCTAGCTCTATCTCTTTCTTTACTCATATTTCCTTACATTCTCCCTTTGTCCCGTCTGAAAATAAATACATTCAAGTCGACATTAAAGGAGGGTCTCCTTCAATGTCGACATGTAGTTGTTGTTGTAATGACGAGACCTTTTGAGAAGGTTATACTTTCCAGAATGCATAAAATGTAACATATATATTTTTTTTAAATTCTGAAATATATGTTTGTTTACCATTGTTATTACCAGATCATTTGCATCGAGTGTCCTACAGCCATGGTGTGGTCTGGATGTGGCTCATCTTTACAAGGGTCACCATTAGACTTGCTACCCTTACCCCCCTCTGCACTGCCTATGCCGCACATGGATACAGATAGTACTGAGGAACATCGAAAAATGGTTAGTAACTATGATATAAGCCAGAAAGGGGTTTCGTCGATCAAGATTAGTAAAGAAAATATTTAAAAGGCTATTAATTAAACATTTGCCTATTGGTATGTTGTACATGAATTCTATTTATGTACTACATACCAATAGGCTGCACTGTTCTTGCAATAACCGTGTTATCCTTAGTTTTACTTACAAAGGTACATACCAAGTCCCGACTATGTGTGACTTAATGGGGGGCAAATACTGCACATCTTCAATTTTGCCACACATGTGAGTTAGGTGATGGTAAAAGAAGAAAAGGCAACTTTGCTTACGGATAGTGCCCAGAACAAATTCTTAACGCTAACTTAACATAATTTCTACCTATATCAACATCATCAAACCATAGCGCACGAGTAGGCTCATCCTGAATTACTTTATACCATTCTCCTTTCTTTTTTTCTCTTTAGAAATAATATTAATATAAGTTTTTCATTTTTCAAAACAAAGTAATTTCAATTTCCTTATATATTCCCAAAATTCTGGCATAAATGATATTTCATCACCCCTCATAGCTGCAAATCTACTAATTAATATTTTATAATAAATTTAGGTGTATGATGCAGAACAAGAAATCTCTGCCAGAAGTAAAAAGGCAGAAAGTAAATGGTGCACTGACAAGTGGCAAACTAGTTCTCAAGGTATTAATATTATCAGTTTCTTTATGCTTCACTAATAAATATTTTTCTCTTTCCTTAACATATCATTTGTCCTACCAGCGCGAGTACTAGCAGTGTTGGAGGCTCTTGACAGGCACTGCTTCGACCGCGTAGATACTAACAATAATCTGGACACCCTGTATAAAGAAGTGTTCGCTAACTGTCCACCACCGTCGAAAGATAATGTAGATACCAAAGATCCGGTAAGTTATTAAGTTGAATATTAATTTACTTACATTGGTTTAGCAAAAGTCCTGCTCAACAAATTGTTTGACAATGGCGTAACTGGGAAATATGTAATGGGCACTTCGCCTAAACCACAAAGCTAAAATAGTATTTATAAAATATATGATTATTTTCCTTAATAATAAATCATGGATGTAAATTTACTGTGGCTAAGTTTCCGATGGAATTGCAAAAATATATTTTGTACATTTATAACATAATGTGTTTTGCCATAGAAGAAAAAGGTGTTATACTATTATATAGACAAAGAATTGTATAAAGAGACACTCGGTTGCGTTTTATCTATCAAAAAAGTACTAATTTGAATAGTGTTTTCTGTTGATGACACGCTATCCTCCACTGTGTGTGCCGCCACTTTTGCTTTTTCTTGTAAGTTATTAAGTATAAATAGGGTTTATAACGTAATTATTATGGTTATCACAATAAAATGAAAACAAACTAGAAATATTTGCAAACAGCTTGAACTATATCACTGAGATTTGACAAATTATATGTATACAAAGTAATTTCGCGTATTTGAAATATTTCATAGTATTATAGGTTCAAGTAGGTTAATTAGCACTTTTCTATGTTGTGGTATGTACAGGAGTGGGCGTGCCCGTACAGCGTAGTGCGCGTGATTTGCGAGTGGGCCGTGTGCAGCGCTCGCTGGGGGGAGCACAGGGCGCAGGCCGCGGCGGCGCTGCTAGACCGGCGCCAGCACCACACCTTGCACCACCACCACGAACACCATACCACTGGTACGTATCTACTAACAGTAACGTACTGGTAGCCTACGTTTTAAAATAATCTTTTATAAATGTAACTAAAATCCCTCAGAAAGGAGATGTCCACTCCAGGGTTTTTATTCCGAATAAAATCCGTTATGATTCAAATTGCATTGATGTATAGCAGCTAGAATAGATCTAGAAGCAGGGAATTAGTGAGATAACAATTTTAAAAAATGTTACAAGTGATTTTATGTTAGTAGATTTTTTATTGAAGGATGGCAATACTAAATATAATAATGTTTATTCACAAGTTAAATCAATAGCAGGTAACGCTTTTCGCCTAATTTTTCTTTATATTTATAGAAATCTCACAATTCTTTATTGCATACTCGAAGTAAACATAATCGTCATCACGCGTCAGAGATTGAGAGAAAATTGTCATACTTGTCATTTAATTTTTATATAGGCATCGCTAGCAAAAGATTTGTTCTAGACATGGGACAAAATCACAGTGAACTGTGATTTATAATTCGATTTTTGCGTACGTAGGTTAGGGTTGCTAGGTGCTTAGATTAGACGCTATTTAACAGTAAATCTAGTATTTTTTTAATTATTATGTAGGAATGGTAGCTATAGACAATAATAAAATAATTACTAGATTTACTGTTAAATAGGTGAAATAGGGTCTTTATGCATCGTCTGGAAACACCTTATTGGCAACAACGCGTGAGTAAGTAGTAATCCTAACGTACGTACAAAAAAAATCGAATGATAAATCACCGGTCTTTCTCAAAATATGCAAGTCTGCCAAAACAATATGGTTCACCGCTATTGGAACGTTTTAAGAATAAAAACCATTTCTGGAAAACTCCTTTAAGTTTTATGTGTGACTACTAGAAAGTTCGATCTTTATTATTTACCGAGCAATGTTTTGACGATAGTAAAATATAAGATCTGTAATAATGTGTACCAATTTTTAATGAATAAATTTATTATTAGTTGACTGCCTCGGTGGTGCAGTGTTGGCGTACGCAACTGCTGTGCCCGGGGATAGAACCCGAGACCTCAGTCTCGGGTTCGATTCCCGGGTCGGACTAAATATTTGTATGATCTGCAAGTATTTGTTTCGGAGTTTGGGTGTTTTCTATGTATGTATTTACAAAAAAAGTATATAAGTATTCTGTCTGTCAAACAAGCTCTGCTTAGTTTGAAACTAGATGGCGTTGTGTGTCAGCTGTCTGAAAAAATACTATTTATTATATTATTATTATTAATAGTATGAAGTTATAGTCCCTTATTTCATACAAGTTTCTACACACGTATCGTTTCGACTGTTACAATGAAAGTATTACCTTATCTTGACAGTTTACTACCTTATTCAATGACGCCAATAGTTCGGAATAAACTTACTGCACATACTTCTTAGTGGGTTATTTAGGTGACTCAGAGGGTGTACAGTTAATAAAAACATTCTTAACTGCGTGAGTCAAAGTTTGTACGAAATAATAAGTCATGATTTTTTCGATGGTTTGTTTAGTTTTATTGTTAACTTGACAATTTATATTAAACAATTTTCGTAATGTAAGAATAAAAAAAAAGAAAATGTTAGAATGCAAGAATCGGACGAAATAACCTATTTAGAACTTAAGATCCTTCATTTTTAACTTCAGGATCTGACGACAAAGAATCAGTGAGTTCCGGCACCGGTCTATATAATGGCCCACCTATATTTCAGAATCTCCTTCTACGTTTCTTAGACAATGATGCACCTGTTTTAGGTAAGAATTGACTCCTATTAAATCCACCTTCTATAGTCCATCTAATCTAAGAGGTACCGTTTGACAGTTGTGACAGCTTTAAGAATAGCGATGAGGTCAAAGAAATTGATTATTACATTATTCTATTCTTAAGAGATATCGATATCATTTCTTAGTATGTACTAATCGATTACAGTTTTACAGATTTATGTATATTACTATAAAAGCTTGTATAATAGCATAGTATAGGTTTTACTAGTAAATCTTAGTATACACTAGACTTGGACACGATCGATTTTGCCTACAAAAAATTGTGTAAAATTACATTGACTTACATAATTTTAATTATGCGTTTTCATTGACAGTTGGACATCAGATGAATTTTAAGTACGAGTATTATTAAACACTAAGACGCCTGGATTGAAAATGACTCGTTATTAATAAATTCACATACATTTTATCGATTATTCGTAATCAAGTGAATTTGAAGACCCTCAACACTACGGTAAAGGACCTGACTACGAGACTTTGAAATGAAGTTTGAAAAAAAACATCTATTGTGTATAAATTGGTTTGTTTCAAAGATTTCAATTTCAATTTAGTCATTAAGCATAGCACATATTGCGATAAAATAAAATTGCTTCATAATTTCATGGTTTTTCGGAAAAGGTTATTGAAGTTGTGTGAGTTACGCCCACGGAGCAAATACAAAGAGGAGGTGTTGTAATTAGATTTGCCTATGAAACAACGCCGTGATAATTTGCGGGGTGAGGGGGTGTTAAGCGCAACCCATCTACCAAATAATAGCAAAACGACTCGCATCGTTCTGTGTCGATAAATAGCATTAGTTTTGCTATCTCACACTAAGTGTAGGATGGAAGGGACGTACTCAGAATTTTCGTACCAGTTAGTTTTTTTTAAGATTAATTTTCTGCACCATCTTGATACTTACATCTATTGCAAAAATCTTAATCATATTATAATCGTTCTAACCTCCCTAATATTATAAAAGCGAAAGTATATGCGTTTTCTCGTTCTCGTTGACTTATCCCACGCTATGTACTGTGTATATGTTATTTTTTAGAGTGGGTTCCACTCTAAAAAATAACATATACCGTTCGGTTGGACTGTAATTATGTGTACAGCTTATCTTTTTGTCCTATTGTCAACCCACTACCGAGAAAAAGAGTGTTATGATTTTCACCCATAGTTAAGTGTTTACTTATATCCCCTCACCCCGCAAATTCTCACGCGTTGTTTGATAGAGAAATCTAATTACAACACCACCTCTTTGTATTTGCCCGTGGGTATAAATATTCCATAAATGACCATTCCTTGGGTAGACTTTTACGAAATGCTAAACATATTCAAATTTTATTAACTGCTTTTTGCAGTAAAAATGTCACTTATAATTTTCATATTAGAAATACTTTATTGGATTTTTTATTTTATTCATTTATTAATCAACTGTTTTACACTAGTTATCTTAATACTAAACTCGCCAATCTATGACGTTAATTGACGTTAATTAACATTGGATTCCAATTTCGGCCCTGTCTTTTTGTCCAGTTTATGTCTGACTTATGTCTGAAATAAATATATATTATTATTAGTATGTATTGCTTATGCCCTCTCCTCTTTGTATTTACTCCGTGGTTACGCCTAAACAAAGTTGTTTCGTCTTGAAAATATGATAGGTCAAACGGTACCTCTTAGATTAGATGGACTATAATAATGATCAGCTGCAAAGCCATAATACCGGCGATGCTGTAATGATGAAAATAATTTCATCCATCACTTCGTCCTGAACGGAGCTTACAGGAACTTGTTGTTGGTTATACTGCGGCTTTGTCCACCCGACGGTAGTGATATCTGTAAACACTCAAGTTAGTGGCAGTAGCTATTAAAGGCTGTTGATGATGATGAGTGTGATCGAAGGGAGAGTGAATACTCACCCTTATAGTAGTCTTTTTTAACCACGGTTTTTGTTTCAAAAATATATAAATATATACTTCAGTGAGGATGAGTATTAATAATAAGTAAAGAGTAAATTTCAGACGAGAGTCCCAACGCGCCACCAGGGAATAGACAACAATTCGCTAATTTGGTGCATTTATTCGGCGAGCTAATTAGACGAGATGTGTTTTCGCATGATGTATACATGTGTACACTTATATCTAGAGGTTAGTAAGGTATACTTTAATATAGATCTGACTTACTTAAAGTCCTGACAGCTCAATTTGATACTAATTGTCTAAACTTGCTTTTTGCCTGTTAGGAGATCTGATATCCCCAACAGAACCAACGTCAACAGTCAACAATGTCCACACTGTGGCGCCACCTGTTAATAGCACCGGTACTAACCACAATATGGATGAGGATATTTTCGCCGGCATCGATCTCAAACCCAAAATGGAGGTACAGATGAATAAGACATTACAAGTTTTTATCTCGTAAAAATCAAGGATCTATTAATAATTAAAATCATTTTTTTAGGAGAATGTGCGAATGGATTTGGACGATTCAAAAATTGATGATGACCTTGATAAGTTATTGCAACATATTAAAGAAGACCAGCAAAATTCGATGGATGCTCCTGACAGCCCTAAAGACCCTGGAGAACCCTCGCACAGGTGACTGACTACTTACGAACGATTATACTGAGACACTTATGTGTTAGTGGCGCCAACTGTTTAAAAACTTTCCCCCTAAAGCACACACCAAAACTCCCAAACAACAGACTATTATTGATTGCAATATAATATACACAGCGCCATCTATTAATACTGGAATCATTCAATCTGTTTTTTTTTAAGTTTTGTTGATACACAGAAAATACTGTATTTTTTTTAAAGTAGAATTTAAATTTTATCCCTAAAAATACCCCCAACAAATTTAACCCCCTAAAAAACTCCCTTTATAGATTTTCCCCCCTAAATTTGGGAAGGAAACGCCAGAGTTGGCATAACTGTCTTGTTTGTCTTTTGTTAAAGACCTAAAATAAATAAATAAATATATATATAGTCATGTAATGTCTAAATGCAAAAGTTAACCACGAACATCATTCTGTACAGCGTAAGTTAACGTACTTTTAATTTGCAGTGTAACTTCACCAATGATGGGACCAAGCAGTATTGGCATACCTGGCATGCCTGGCATGAGTATGGGACCGATGTCTGTACCAGGTATATACTGGATTTTATCTTTCCTTACTAAGAACTACTAAACATTGCTTTTGATAAAAATATAACGGTAGTCAGCCTATTTTATTTTTCTAACGATATATCAAAATTATATCTCACTCAAAATATCTTTATTTCATAAAATCTTTAAAATTATTTGAAATCGTCTCTTATGTAGACTCTAACGTCATATATCAACACACACAATAGCAACAATCTCTGTTTTGTCAAATATTTAGCAATCTAAATATATACGTATCGAAAATCTCTTATATGCCTGTGCTGATCTACAACCGCCCATTTCTAAGGGGTTGAGCCTCATGAGAAGAAAGGGCAAACAAACTCACGGCCACTCTTTTTAATCAACAGATAACAATTACATCATAAAATATACACAACATTGTCTTGATGTGTGCCAGTATGTAAGTTTTAAAGACTAAAAGGTAACAAGGCAATGAAGAGAAAACAAGATATAAAAAAAAGATGAAAAAAAAAAGAAGTGAAGTAAAAAATAATAATAGAAAATTAAATAAAAGACATACTAGCCCACATCACATTTCCACTACGAAATAGCCTGTGCTAAATTAATCCCAGGCATTCTTGTATTCTATGTAATCCACAATTGAGTAATAGGCTAACATAGTTTACGTTTTATTATGGATTTAAATTTCTTTAAACTAAAATCTATTACTACTACTAAACTATTTGGGATTTTATTATAGAATCTGAAACATTGATCTCGAAATGACTTGTAAATCTTTTGGAGCCTAGAGGCAGGTACAACCAAGTTATTTCCATTTCTGGTATTTAAAACATGTACATCACTTCTTCCCAAGAAGCTATCTTTGTTTTGAACATAAATATATTACATTTTCATATATATATTGACTTGCCACTATCACTATGTTTATTTCTTTAAATTTTTGGCAAAATGAACAACGATTGCCTAAATTATAAATTGCTCGAATCGCTCTCTTTTGCAGCACAAAAAAAAATTTGGATGTCGGCGGCATTCCCCCACAGTAGAATACCGTACGACATTATGCTATGAAAATAACTGTAGTACACAAATCGTGCTGTATGAATATCAGTCGATTCTCGAATTTAACTGCATACGCTGCTGAGTCTACTCGATATTTTTCTATATGTGGGCCTAACTGTAGCTTTTAGAATCTAATGTTATTCCTAAAAAGGTCGTTGTATCCAAAAGGTTTAAGTTCTTAATTATCACAGTGGTTTTCATTGGCTTGACGTTGGGCGTGGTGAACCGTATACACTTGGTTTTTTTTTTCATTCAAAAGCAAATTGTTAACGTCAAACCAATGAACCACTTTCTTTATTTTATTTATTTTCAAATCGGACTGATTAGTGTCACACAAGTTTAGGTGACTGTAACCTACTGAAAATAAATGAATCTGCAATAGGAATCATCAACTAATAAATGCGAAAGTCAGTTTTTGTCTATACTACTTAGCAAATTATGATGTCATTTTACATCCACACAGTCAGACCCTTTCATCCAGAAAAAGTAATGCTCTCGGTGGTTAGAAAATGACTAAGCCTATCAAAGCGGAGTGCACACAGTCTAATATAAATTCATACATGCAGGTATCCGCACCACAAGCTCTGGTCCATCAAGTGGATGTGGTGGTGGCGCCATCGTTACCGGGACAGTGTCCCGACATTACCACTACACACTCCACTTCCCTTTGCCGCCAACGGAACCAGAACATACTCCTCATGATGCCAACCAACGACACATACTCTTGTACGGCGTTGGGAGAGCAAGAGATGATGCCAAACACGCCGTTAAGAAGATGACCAAAGGTAAACGACCTAACTGTGAGCTGATGGATATTACACTTTCACTAAGGCAAAGGCATAAATAACAGAAATTTATTATATATATATATATATATATATTAATATTTAAACTCAGTATTTAAAATACTAAAGGGATTTAAAAATACCCCCTTACATGAACATAATTGTACGACATTATGTGCAATTTGATGTGTGCAAGTGTTAGATAGTTACAATTATTACCTAATAATGTGACGGATATATTTCCAAAGTGTAACATACCTTTATCAACTTGTCTTGTAGCATTTCTAAGCTAAAATGTATTATACCTTTCCTGATCTTTATCAGCAGATGGAATAGATTACTACGGCTACACCGATTCATATAAATGCACACACATGAATGATATAATGGTTAACGATTGTATTAAAAATGCTTTGTTCTCTTCCTAGAAATATGTAAGCTGTTTTCTAAAAAGTTCTCGATCGACGTGGCAGAAGGTGGAAAAATTAAAAAACATTCGCGCAGTGAATTTAACTTCGAAGCGGTTACACAAAAATTTCAGGTTTGTTACACTATACTTCAGTACATATATTATTATCGTATGTGCTGGACCTTCTGAACTTAAAAATGTGGAATATTAGCAATTTTATTAAATTTAATTCTAATGTATTGAATATATAGAACGAAGTTTCTTATCCCGCATTACACGCTCTGAGCGGATAGAAGCGAGACCTTTACGTCCGTTGACGAAGGATCACAATGACTAATTCCAAATGTATCAAAAAGACTCACCACTGAATATCGTAGGCAATGTCGATGTACGAGCAAGGAGCGGTGTCGTGGGCGGTGGGCGGGGCGGTGTGCGAGGCGCTGGCGGCGTACGCGGCGGGCGCCACCACGTACCTGCCACAGCCCGAGCACGTCGCCTTTGCGCTCGACCTCATGGAGATCTCGCTCAACGTGCACGGACTCATCGATACTTGCATACAGGTAACCGTGGATTACACGTATCGACTTATAAAAAAGGGTCATTTCATAATTTATGACCAAAAAGATGTATACAAAAGTACCAACAAATTTATAAAATATAATAAAACTATTTTCATCATATATCAATATCTCAAGAATACATAACACCTCAAGAAGAAAATGGCCCGACTTTCATCGTTATCCAATGGGTTAACTATTTTTTGCACCACGGCTTGGCTATTAGAATATTTTACACTAGCTATTGCTTATTTCCTACTTCATGTTTCTAACTTTACTATATAGATTACCAAGAAGGAAAAAGAATGTCTTATTGTATATTGAATTATTAACCTTTACAATTCTATGAAAGAAAGCCATCAATAAGAATAAAACGATTGTAATTTATATCCTTTCTCAACACGATTATAGTCTTTTTAGTGTTAGTTGATTTATGCTGGGATGTTTTATACTATTAAATATAACATGTATAATACCCTAATTTGTTGTACATAGATACTAAAAGAACTATCAGAAGTGGAAAGCGCCCTGATATCTCGCGGAGCGCTGAGCAGCGGCCTGGCGGCCCCACGGGCTTACACTTCTGCTTTGGCTTTGTATACGGTTGGCGCCCTTAGGAAGTACCACTCATCTTTATTACGTAAGTTTATTACATGAAAAGAGTTATATTGTATATCAGATACAAAATTCTCTGCTTCCCGTTGGGAGAGAAACGTAAGGTTATGTATTAAATAATAAGTGACATAAGCAGCCTCAATGTTAAAACTACACTACACGATGACTAAAATAAGTTTTAATCGATATATGTCTACAACTCGTTGTGCTGTTTTAAGAGGTTGCTTAAATTTTAAAAAACAATTACTGTATGAAGTTGGTTTATCTTTAAAAATGTACAAGGTATTCTAGATCAAGTGGTTTTTAACGATAAAAAATCTATTACCTCAGTTTTATATTGTTTCTGGCTATTTAAATCCATTTGTATTTTTCTTTTAGTATGCGTCGAACAGACATCCGCAGTGTTCGAACAGCTCTGCCGTTTAGTTAAATGCGTGGTGAACCCCGGCGACTGCGGCTCGGCTGAACGTTGTGTATTGGCGCAGCTGCACGACTTGTACAAGGCGGCCGCGCATCTCTTTCATGCACCTCATGCTGACACTTTCGCTAACGCCTACCCAAAAATCAAGTTTGTATATAATTAGAATTAAAAAAAAAAACTTTGCACTTTGGACATGTCTCACTTTTAAAATTTCACGTTATACCTATATGCACGGTAGTTAACTCGGTTACGTAATAGATAATACATACCTGTGAATTGTCCCATGTTTTGACCAGCTGTTGTCACGCTCTGACGTAAATTCTGAATTCTATATGTAATTTTATAAGAATTGAATAACTTGTAAAGAAAGGGTAACCACGGCTAGTTAAGATGGTTCATCACCAGTCCTTGTATATGGACAATATGGTCATCGCAAAGATTCTAATCGGGGCCCGCTTGCTACTTCGCTAGCAAACAGAAGGTAGACCGTTGGGAACACACCGTAATGGCATAGACGGTCTTACCTATTACAAGCGCAGTATAACACACTATAATTTAATTCGCTGTAAGTACGACATACGCAATTAGCGTTTTTTTCTTGGGAGTTAATTTTCCACAGACCAAAAAAGCATGCCATGAATATTTAAATTTAACCCTCTTTTGAATTTCATCATCATCATCATCAGCCTATCGCAGTCCACTGCTGGACATAGGCCTCTCCCATTGCACGCCACTTAGATCGATTTTATCCTTATTTAATTTTGAAATTGAAATACTACATTGCCTAGTAAATCCGTGTGGTGACGAATTTAGAATACGGATTTTCACCACCTCTATTCATCCCGTGGATGTCGTAAGAGCCGAGTAAGGGAGCAAACTACGCAGGACAACTTAGTATAGTAGGCCCAAACCTCTTTTCTAAGGGGAGCCTTATGTCGAACAGTGGACTATTAAAGGACGTTGATATGATGATACTGTTGCGCAAAAGCTACAATTACAAAAGACTCAATGGTTCTCGTATTGTGTAGTTAGTTCGTGAACAATCGAGAGTCGTATGGAATATGGAGGACAGCACCATTTAATATCAAGTTAGGCACAACCATGGAGCAAATACAAAGAGGTGTTGTAATTAGTTTCCCTATGAAACATCACGTGACAATTTGGGGGGTAAGGGGTTTTAAGCTCCGCCCTCTTCACTTTTTTCCCTCTACCAATCTTCTATATCGATGTTGCTGCTGCTGTCCAACTATCTAACGCTAAGTGTGTAAGGGACGTACTCAGAATTTTCGTACTAGTGACTTTTTAAGATTAATTTTCTGATCCATCTTGACACTTACTTCTATTGCAAAAATCTTATATTATAATAATGGGTATTGCTAGTGTAAGAATAAAAACGTTTGTGGTAAATTATGAATAACTAGTAAAATTTGTTCTCTTATTTATTATTTTATTTTTATTTATGTGTACGGCTTATGTGACAATAAGATATGTCACAATTACTGTCGAGAAAAAAGTGATATGATTCTCACCCATAGTTAAGTATACATCATATTTTTGATGCAGAACAAGTAATAAACAAATTCTTATGATGAATGTATTTTAATTTACAAATAAAATAAAATTAAACTCTTATAATAAATGTCTTGCGGTAGAATAATACTTTGACTATTATACATAGACTATTTACTTTCAAGGAGACTTTATTTTATGAGGTATAACTATGAGTTATGACCATTTCTTGGGTTAACTTTTACGAAATGCTAAACATATAAAAAAAAAATTAAAAGGTTTTTTTACAATAAGAATGTCACTTATAATTTAAAGCTTTCGTAAAAACCAGCCTAAGTACAATTTCCATATTAAAAGTATTTTATCGGATTAACATTGGATTCCGATTTCGGCACTGTCTTTTTGTTCTGTTTATGTATGTTTTTCTAGTTAACGATAGATGACAATCTGTTCACAAAAAGTCGGCAATCGCAATGTATGTAACTTTACTATATTTAAAAAAATCTTTCAAGGGGAAAAAACATTATCCGTTCCTAAATACTATATTTCCAGGCATTATATACACACCACAAAAGATAAGGTTTATATCATCTAAGTATGCGCAAGAAAGTACTAAAATCTAGTTTCTTGTAAACCTAAGCTTTGTAATAAGGCGAATATTGAAACCTCATTGACATACGACATACGTATATTTTGCAGGCAAGCTCTCTATTCTCCACTGCAGCCAACGCCGTCAAACTACCCTTACAACCCACAGTTTCTTAGTGAATTCTTCACGAATCCACGTAAAGGTATATCATATATTGTGCTTTATTGAGACTAATGGATTTAGATTCGTGATAGGATAAATGTTTTGCAAATCATTCATTTCAATACATTGTTTATTTTCAGGTAAAATAGAAATAGCATGGGCCCGTCAAGTGGCTGAATCGCCAGCTAACAGATACAGTTTTGTCTGTTCAGCTATGCTTGCCGTGTGTCGTGAAGTCGATAACGATCGGTAAGTAAGACTCTTCGAAACAAGGTACTAAAGTTAATATCGAAGGGTTTTCATTATCAAAGACATTTAGTCTTATTTTTTATTTGTCTAATTTATTAGGTTTCCTAGGCTATGCCAACTTCCAAAGCGGCAACCGACATGCTGGTCTGGTACCGACAAAAGAAACTTTTTTTTTATGGTATAAGGGGGCAAACGAGCAGACGGGTCACCTGATGGTAAGCAACACCTGCAACTAAAAAGTCACAAGTGCATTGCTGCCCTTGGCTCCGGTAACCTCGTACACTCAGTGAAAGACAACGAAAGAATGGCTTAACACCGGCTTTTCTGTGAGGCCGTGGTATCACTCCGGCCCATTCGTGCCGAAGCATGGCTCTCCCATGGTACCGGTAGAAATTCTAGATGTCCTAATCACGAATGCCTTAAAAGCATAAAGTGAGAGACAGATGTGTAAAGAAGTCGTGGTGCGGCAGCGTGAACGAGCTGGGCGTGGTGTGCGCGGAGATGACGGCGTGGTGCAGCTCGCTGGCGGCGGAGTGGCTGGGCGCGCTGGTGGCGCTGTGCGGCGCGCAGCACTACCCGCTGGCCGCGCCGCACGCCGCGCCGCCGCCGCTCTACCCCGACCTGCTGCACCACCGCGACCTGCACGACGCCGCCGCGCACGACGCGCTCGCCGTCTTCACCTGCATACTCGTCGGTACGTGCTTACTTCCTTTCGTTTGCCGACTGCTGGCACTTGTCTCGGGACTAGACGTTATGTTATCACTGTGACGATCGAATAGATGTATATTTCATCAACTCACACCAGGCCCTCTGGATATTATGTTGTTATCGACTGGAGATAGATGGCGCTCTTCCAGTAAACACGTCTCAAAGTTGTCTCCGTTACTTATAATTCATAAAAATATTTATCCTCCACAAAGAACTGTTTGCTGTGCATAAAAGTGTGAACAAACCTGTATTCTATAAGTGGTATTGTGGGCTAGTTTATTAGTGAAGTATAAACGTAAATAAGGTACTGTGAATATGAACACCTAAGAAAAGACTATTTGCACAAAACCAGTGAGTACAGTGCTTTGACTACTAATTAGAAACATTTAATATAAAGTTTTTAAATGAATGAAATCCTATACATACTGAAACAATATTAAACAGACTTATTTTACAAATTTGAAGTGTTAAGTCCGTTTGAATTCAAAATACCATGCTCACATACGCCATCTAGAAGGGCATAGAGAACTAAAATTAGTAACCGAAACTTTGAAAGTCAATTGATTTGCTGCTACTGTCCAATAGATGGCTCTGTAACAAATAACCATTACAAGTGGTTGTTAAAAAACAAAATAAAATACTTACTATTTTTTGGATAAAATACTTATTATTTTTGGATACAATGGATAATATTCTGAAGACGATGTCGAATTTAAGTAAAAAAGTAACCGAAAAAACGGAACAATTTACACTAGTTAGTACAAATTCTGTCACAAAACTTAGTCCTATTTCTCCTAATACCGCAAGGAACAATATAACTATTCGTAGATGTAAAACTAACATTCCAACAGATAATTCTTTCGATGCCTTCGCTGAGGTTTCCTCAGATGACAATGATAATGACTTCTCATACAATAACTCGATGCCGTCTTGTCTCCTGAATAGAAGCATACCTGCTACTAATACTAACCTAATAGAAGATATAACGGAAATGAGAAACAAACTACATACACTGCAGGAAAAGTTATTAGGAGCAGAAAACGAGATTGAAAACCTACTATTCGAAAATAGCAAACAGGCAAAGCAAATCAGCGAGTACAAATTAAAAATTGATCAACTAACACATAAAGGTCAAGAAACATCCACAAGAAAATGCAGTAATCAGCGGAGAACGAGTCTAACGAGATCCATGTTGGATTTCTGTGATACTGAAAAGGAATTGAGAAGAGAAAGAAAATCTGATCAAAAATCGATAGAAGTAACGCCATCTCTTAAAAAAACTAAGAAACCGAATGACCAACTATTACACAACACCAAAAATAATAATTTATGTCTTAACTTTACTAAGACAGGTGGCGTGACCGATACGGATACAAACATTGAAACTGAAGGGAAGAAATATTCATTTAGCATTCAAACATCTCCCTATCGTAAAGAACAAGGCAAAAAACCTAAATTATGCATATTAACCAATAGTGTTTGCGGTACATTACAATCTGTGGAGGCTACATTCAACCAATTTGATTATATTCGTTATGTGTCACCAAACTGTGACATAGAACGGTTACTTCAGAACTTGAACTACAAGTTACGTAATTATAGTATGATTGACTATTGCATTATTATGTTGGGAGAAATAGATTTTAAAGCTTCATGTACTGACCATATAGCATTGATAAAATCTATTAGGGAAGCCGTACAACATATTTCTAATACAAACATAATTATATGTTCACCTACCTATATATGTGGCGCTCCCATATATAATTACAATATAGAATTATTTAATAATCTTTTGTCTTTAGAGCTTCAAAATTATGCCTATGTATACTTTTATGATTCAAATCTCATAGTTTCTTTTGATATGTTCTCATTAAAAACTGGCAAGCTACTTATTTAGGATTAAGACATATCTACTATGATCTGTTGTGTAATATTGTTGCTGATTACAATTATTATGGTATTCAATACCTATTCCTCAAACTACAAAACCGGATGATAGGTGTCCTAAGTTTTTCTTGCATAATAATAATTATGGGAGGAATATTTTTACAAATAAACCACTGTTCACAAAATCAAAGAGAATTGTACCAATAAAAAAAAAAGTAACAAAATATTATTGTATTACCAAAATGTAAGAGGTCTACGCACCAAAACTGCTATATTTTACAAGAACGCTATAACTATAGCCAGCGATCTTGTCATCCTTACAGAAACATTCCTAAATAGCTCTGTTAATGACGCTGAACTCTTTCCACCTGAATACGTTGTCCTGCGGAAAGACCGTCAAGGTGACGTCGGGTGGGGGGGTGTTCTATTGGCAGTAAAGAACTGTTATAATGTGAAAAAAGTTACAAATGTAGATGACTTAACTGATGATAAAGAATTATTATTTGCTATTATTACCAGGAAGAATGTTAAGCTAATGGTTTGTGTTGTCTACTTACCTCCCAGCTACAGCAGTAAACAATATCTCGATGTCTTAACATGCATAGAAAACGCTATCAACATGTATACTGAATATCCATTGCTGATAGTTGGCGATTTCAATTTAAATTCGTGCAATAATAATGTTAGATCTCAATTTAATAATTTTATGGAATATTGTAAGTTGCAACAATGCAATAACATTAGCAATAAATATGGATGCATCTTGGATTTAGTATTGACTACTCTTGATTCCAACAGTATTAATGTGTCATCTGATACTGAACATTTAGTGCCCATGGATGCATACCACCCTCCCTTAGAAATACTACTTACACTCCCTAAAAGAGCGAACAATCCTTCGTCTTTTACTCCAGGGAAGTATTTAAGTATGGAGTGGAACTTTCGTAAAGCAGATTTACATGGCTTATACACTGAGGTTGCTAATATTGACTGGACTGAACTACTTGACCAGCAGAATTTAAATGTAAACCTAGCCGTAGATATATTATATAATAAACTTAATAGCGCTATTAGTACACGAGTTCCCCTTAAGGACAATAGCTCATAACAATAAATATATATATCCCAAATGGTATACCAAAGAAATAATATCTTGTATAAAATTAAATATTTTAATTTGAAAAAGTTTAAATGCGATGGTTTAGAGTTTAACAAAGAACTTTTTAAATACTATAGGACTAAAGTGAAGGACCTCATAAATACAGCCTTTAAAGAATATATATTAAAGGTTGAAAACAATATAAGTTTAGATCCTTCAAGTTTTTGGCAGTATATAAAGGAAAAGCGAAAAAATAGGCAGCAGACAAAAACATATACTTATAAAAGTCAAGTTGTAGAAGGCCAGGAAGCCATTGACTCGTTTGCTAAATATTTTAGTTCAGTGTTCCACGATACTTCTCCGTTGTTAGATGTAAAGGTAGCTGAGGAAGAGGCTAATCGTTTAGGCTGCCTATCCACAGTGACTATTGAACGAGTTACAGCTACCGAACTTAAGTGTGCTGTACGGCGACTAAAAGCTTCAATAGCTTGTGGTCCTGACAACATACCTGCCTTTTTAATAAAGGATTGTTTGTCAGCTTTGGAAGTGCCGTTACTTCATGTTTATAATCTCTCGCTTAGACAATGTTTATACCCTAGTAAGTGGAAAGTGTCCAGGGTGACACCAATACCCAAATGTGGAACATCCGCAGACATAACAAACTACAGACCTATTGCTGTATTGTGTGTATTTGGAAAGATATTTGAATCTGTCCTCAATAACGCCATTTATAAACAAATAAAGGGACAATTGAATGATTGCCAGCATGGGTTTCGTCCTGGACGCTCCACGTTAACTAATCATTTAGAATTTGTAGACTTTATAAATACTAGAGTTAAGTCTGGCTGTCAAGTAGACGCCGCATACTTTGATTTTAAAAAAGCGTTTGATCTCGTCGATAATGATGTACTTTTAAACAAATTTTCTGTATTGGGCTTTTCAACTTCTCTATTAAAATTTATGGCAGATTACTTAAAAGATCGTAAGCAGTTTGTTAAGGTAGAAGGATATAAATCGGAAGAATATTATACTCGATCAGGGGTCAGTCGAGTAGTACCTTAGGTCCTATGCAATTTCTGATAATGATCAATGATTTACCTAATGTTATATTAAATGCAAAATGTCTGATGTTTGCCGATGATCTCAAACTGTACCTTTCTGTAAATGAAGCTAAGGATTGTTTGGCCCTACAACATGATATTGACGCTGTAGTTGAGTGGAGTCTAAAAAACAAGTTATCATTTAATAATTCCAAATGTAAAACTATCACTTTTTCTCGATCCCGTAATCCGATTACAAATACATATCATCTTGCAGGCGCCCCAATGGAACGTGTTCCCTCAATCAAGGATTTGGGAGTAACAATGGATAACAAATTAAATTTTCATGACCAGATACTTAAAATATGCAAAGACGCTAATAATGCCGTTGGTTTCATCATCAGAATATCTTCACAATTTAAGAACACTCAAGTTATAATACAAATATACAATACTTATGTGGCGTAGTAAATTAGAATATAATGCAATAGTCTGGGGTCCACGGGAGTCGTTGTATAATATTATGATAGAAAAAATTCAACGTAAATTCTGTAGATACCTATATAAGCGTCAGTATGGATACTACCCCTTTCTCTATCCTTCACTGTTTGTGTCAGGAATGGTGGGTTTAGATACACTTCAACTCAGACGGGAATCTACACATATAATGCATTATTGTTTGATACTGGCGAATAAGGTAGATAGCCCTGTTGTACGGGAAACAATACATTTTTATGTTCCCGACCAATATATGCGTGCCGTTGGAAGACGACAACATAGACTCCTGTGCTGTCCGCCTACGTGGCGCTCTCCCCAGGCTGACCATAGCCCCACTGCTATAGCAATTAGGCTTATCAATGAGTTCCTTCAGAATAGTCCAGATGCAGATATATTTTTCGACTCCCAGAACATAATTTTAAAACATATTTATACATATCTAAATTTTAAAGAGTAATTTTATAGTTCCTAAGTTGATGTAAGGTTGTTTTTGTTTACAAATTTTATGTTGTTTCTTTTTGATGGTCTGAGTTTTACAATTGTAATAGTATTTAGTTTATTTTTGTTAAAATTAGCATAGATATAAGCGATTTGGTGTATACTGTGATGCTTATATTTTATTAATAAAGAATTGAATTGAATTGAATCTAGTGTTCACCATTGGTCTAAATTCTACTATAATCATAGTTACTTTGTTCAAGTTTAAAAAAATACTACGGGAATCGATCGTCCAACATAGTACAAAAGTACTTGTATTATACTTTCGACTATTTATCTATAGGTAGGTAGAAGACGTAATAATATTTAAATATTTCAGCGCGGCACTGCTTCTCCCTAGAAGATTTCGTGCGTCATGCAGCACTGCCTTCCCTTCTAAAAGCCTGTGGAGGAGGTGGGTCTGGTAATCCCGCGAACGCGCCGTCACCCGACACGGGCGCCAGGCTCACCTGCCACCTTCTCCTCAGGCTCTTTAAGACTGTTGACACTCCGCAGCCATGTGAGCACATTTATAATAATAATAATCTTCTACAACAAAATATACTGTTAAATCTATATTCACTGATCATGATACTAGTAAAAAGTATTTAAATAAAAAAATATAATAAAAATCAGAAACATTATATTATTTGGAATTAAATATCACACCTATAGTCAATACTCAATTATTCCCGATCTGTCAGCTGTATACTGATACCGGGACCAGTTACCTAAAGAAAACAGTTTTTTAAATTTACATCTATCTTTTTGAACAACTCATGAAATCGTTCGTTATTAACAGGACGAAAATCGACAGTTAACATGTGTGGCAATGTATTAAAGTTTAATATTGAATGTGCATTTAGGTTTATACTCTGTATCGACATCACCTGGACCAGGCGGAGCGGCTGCGGGTGTGCGATTGTCATGCGACCGACATCTGCTCGCCGCGGCTCATAAAAATATAGGAGTGGGACCCGTACTTGCTACACTGAAAGCCATACTTAGTAAGTCGTATCGTTCATTTACATTTAACTTGAAAGAAATCTTTCGCTAATTCATTCCCCATGAATTTTAATAAATATACTACCTAAAAACCTCTTTGGTTGGTAGGTCTAGTGGTTAGTGACCTAGATTGCTAAGTCGAAAGCCGTGAGTTTGATTCCCATTTAGGACAAATAATTTTGTGATAAGCACGATGATTTGTTCATTATTTAGAAATATTTAAGTGTGTGAGATATGTGAAGTTATTATTAATATTATGTACATTATTAGAAAATATTCCCTCGAGCATTGCATTGGATTCTCGCTGAGTGAAAACATATACGGGTGTGAACAGGTCTGTTTGCATCGGTCTAGATATTTCCATCTAAAATATATAAAGCCTATTAAAAAAAACAAATTTCTGAGACTCGCGGTACAGGCTGTACGTAATTTGTATTAAAAAAGGATGTGTAATATATCATCATCATCATCATCAATCGCAGTCCACTGCTGGACATAGGCCTCTCCCATTGCACGCCACTTAGATCTAAAGTACGGCCGCTGAGTTATTACCGATTTGACACATGACGAATTGACAATACTAGTGAAGTGACTGAACCAGTAACCCTAATATCATTTGGGAACAGTTTGTTTTTAAATATTCTAGTATAGTGTGTAATAAAATAAAATCAAAACAAATAATAGTTAAAGACACAGGTTCTTTATTAGGTGGAGTATCCTTGATGGGCGTAGATAATTGGTCGAGGACATATCAAATATAGGTAAAGCAAATTTGTAAACACTGTTACACATTTTAATGAATAGAGTAGGTACAAGATGTTTTAATAAATGACTACCTATCATTTATTAAAACAATTATTCAGACTGAACCAGATTCGCCAGAGCTGTCATCGCTATCAGTAAGTGGTAAGGGTGTTGCCAGAATAGTATAGTAATAGTATTTATTAAATGTTGTTTTATATATTATAAATGTTAAAAATTATACATAATCATTTTAATTGTATTTATTTTTAAATCATAGAAAACAGTATTTCTGTCTTTGGATCATACATAAATCTTAAAAATCATAAGATACTGGCAACACAGTGCAATTAGGAGACGCAAAAAAATGGTAGCATTATATTTAGTCTAGTTTCTCGAAGGAATAAGTAAAATAAAAATATCCAAATAAAATAAATATCATATCTATTCCAATGAATTCGGACCGAATACTATCAAGCACATCACTATGAAAACTAGACGCACGATGTAACTTTGTACGAGCGCGCCAAAGAACAAAAAATAAACGTTTTCATATTATTTACAAACTATTTTAAGTTTTGAAACAGAGTTTATTGGAAAATTACTTGATTCTGACATTTTGACATAAAGTTTTATATTAAAGAGGTATTCTAAATCATTCGGCAAATGTGGCGCTCGTGCAAGGTTATATCGATTAATTTAAGAATAATCTGTCAAATCGGTAATAACTCAGCCGTACTATAAGTGTAATATATAGTAAATATTAAAACTAACATTTTAACATCACACATGTAAAAAAATATTATCGCTATAGTGGTTGGTGATTCGACGGCTCGAGACGGCGGTAAACCTGGCGGAAAGAAATCATGCGAGTTGTCGCACATACTGGGCACCAGCGACACGGTCCCCACTGACGCACAGTTAGAACTGATGTCGTAAGTAATCATTGCTATATCATCATTCCTTATGATCTGCCATCACTTGCAATAACAATGATCCTTGAAAATCTTGATTCAGTTAACATGAATCTCAATAACTTAATCATTCAAAAAATCAAGACCTGTTTTTGAAACTTAATTGCATCATTCAAGTATTGTCCATATCGAGAGCTTCAATATTTCATATTATAGGAATTTATACACATTGGGCCTGGATGTACCTGCGTTGCAAATCTTAACTAAAAACAACTGCTTGTGAATACATTACAATATCTCATAAGACTGGGTCATTTTGACTGTTGTATTGGTCTGTTTTAGTCTGTTATATCCAATATTTTGATGGAAACGCTACTACCACGAAATCTTTTATATCAACAAACTGAATTTTGTTGAATAGTTTTTCTTATTTTACGTCTTTTATAAGCCATAGACAGAAAGAGCTATGCAAGATTATAGGTTCGAACAGAATTTTTAGCACGTTATTATTATAATATGATTTTGTTTTGGATATAAATGATATGATTTGATTCGAGTAAAACTACAAAATAAATGTATTTATTCCAAACTTTGTTTATTGTTACAATCTCTGGTTCACTAGACATTTTCGACATTTGCACGCGTAACCAAGAATATTATACACGGACACGGTTTAACAACAGTTTATATGAAATTAATTGCTCGCGTAAATGTAAATTTCAATGAGATCAAGTATCCCTATGGACCAGTCGTTTTTTTTTCCGGATGCAAGACACTGACTGACAATGTGTATATAAAATTTCATAACGAAAAGTTAAATAGTTAAGACTAAAAGCGTAAACAAATAATCTTTTTTTGAATTTGTAAAATTGGACAGGTTAACAGTGAGGGTGAATTGACACTAAAGATAATGACTGAATAATTTATTAAATTATTCCCAATATTAACACACTTTTCAAATGCTCTTGCATCAGATTGTTGCTCTCGATATGTGGAGGTACTTTACTTATCGATTTTTTTTCAAACTTGCTATAATATTTGCGTCAGATTCCAATATTTTTATATGAATACCAATTTGAATATTATAATCAAGTATTTGTAATACATCAAGGATCATAGATCATTTAAGCATCGTAATATTTCATATTTTTAGCATAAGGAACACATATTGACTCGCGTTGTTTTCTATCCTTAGGATGGTAGATTCAGAGATGAGTGGGGGCCATAGAACTCCTAGGTTTGTTTATTTTGTTATTGAGTTACACAGTCGCACATCCTACGAACGGACATGGCTTCACTGTGTACTCATTTTGTACATATTCGTATCATTCTGACATTATGTACATACAATGTTGGTGTAGCTAAACATATTTTATCTTCCTCAGTTAAATTCCAATATTACAACCTTACTTGACATTTGTCTATGCATATTGCTGAAGTAACCAATTAAAGATTACTTCTGGAGTATGTGCCAAAATTGTTAAACCCTGATATAGAAGCCATTATGCAAATTCTTCGCAGAAAACATGTAATATAAGTGGCGATTTCCTTTGCTTAATGACTTTTTTTTACATATTGATGAAATATCGAGATAGTCCACTACAAATGTTTCATCATGTTTTAACTACACCAACATTTCCTCGCTTCGCTTCTCTTCACATTGTTTTGCTCCTCAATCATGCTGTTGCCAAGGGAAATCTCGATGTGTAGTTGCTTCAACCTGTCTGTTTAGAGGAGACCCTACTTGGTTGTAACGTTGCCCTTCTAACTAATTCACCTCTTTACTTACAAATATTACGTGTAAACAATAAACCGCGAAATTAATAAAAAAATACTGCTGGCACACAAAGTTGTAAAAATATATGAATTATATTGTTTGAACTCTATTATAACATCATCACTTAGACATCTGTTAGTTAAATCCTCACGTGCCGCTACACTGATCAACGCTCACCGGTGAAGGCACTTTACAATGTCGTGGCAATTCGCGGCTTTTTTATGACTTATGTAATACTCGGACATTAACCCTGATCAGAGTTGCTCGTACTAATACTTACATCATCCATTAATACAATCAATATCCCTTCCCTATCATTCCCTCTCTTTATCTACCTATCCTTACAATATATTACTAATTTGCCCATCTTATAAAGATAAACAATTATCATTATTATTATCTCTGTAGTGCCGTGTTGGCAACAGTAGGGTTGCCCCTTATAATGTATGGTCATGTTCGATCCCTAGTAAAACTCTAGTCTAAGTGACTCTTCGAAAATCAAACAAAATCAAGTAATAAAATATGTTTATATATTTTACATATCTATAATCTAATCAACATCTTACTTGCTGTGGTCTAAGTTGAAACAATAATTTTTGGTTCATATATTTTGTAACTTTGTATCTCATTAGACTAAACATCTTTCTGATAAATATTAAAATATATTATGTGACAATGTTTATAAGTAAAGAATTCTTTCATCACGGTTGTGTTGTCCACAGGATCACCGTATGTGTTTAACACTGTGTACTTCTAATTTCCATAGGTCCACACAACGACTCAATTAATCACATCCTTCTCCCTACAAGTCTACAAATCTCGTACTTGTTCGTAGCCTGAACCTAGTAGAATATAAGTGTGTTTTGTGAAAAGTTCCTGAGTTTGGGTGATTCGTGCTTGTTCATATTAACTAAACGCACAACAGAATCATATGAAACTAATGAGGGAATTTCGTGTTCTATACCATCACACATTACGTTTGGGACACTGATCTTGAGCTCTGAGCTAACAAACCTTATAATATGCTTAATCAGTGACCACATATCAATATGTTAAATAACTTGTGGTTACAAGTTATTTAAAGAAAGTGTGGTTGCACTATATGATAACTTAAGATTGTCATAAAAAAATTTGGCTGGGTTCCTTTTTTGTAAATTTAATTAGCCTATTGATGACTTTCAGAGCTCAATATCATGTCCAGTAAACAGTACGAGTATCAGTTATAAAGTAACTCTAGATATGATTACAGGGGTAGCGGAGGCGTTGGTTCAACATTACTTGACTCCTCCCAATCATTGTCTTCATTAGCGAGGCGGGTACTAGCAGAGATATGCTCTGAAGAGTGGGTGCTCCAGAAATGTTTACAGAACCCTGATGAGCTCTACCAGCCGGATATGTTGCTCGATCCAATGCTCACAACGAGACAAGCACAAAGGTAAATATAACGTTGTGGGAATTCACTTAAACCATCTAAATATTCGAAGGCGGTGACATATTATGTGAGACGTAATATCTACAAGTCATTATCATATATTGTCGACTTCAATTACTAGCAGATTATTTCTAAAATTAATAATAGAATATTATGACTGACAACACATCTAGATAATAAGATATCTATATTAATAGTTAACGACAAAACAGTTCAGTGCTTTCGATGAAGCAAACACTACCGCATTTAACTCAGTTAAAGTTAAATCACAGTTGCCCGACGGTAACTAAGCAAAGAATCTTATTTATCAAATATATGGCTTCGTTTAATTAGAAAGTATTTTCAACTATTATTTATTAATCTCTAAATTTAAACAAACCAAAAATATTTAGACGAAATACGTAAAAGTTTATCTCGTAAAATTTTAGTCAAACGTGGTAAAATTGTGATGAAAATAGGAAGCATTAGTGCATATGTCTTTGTAGCAGCTAGTATACTTTCTTATCTAAAATCTTCCTTATGATTTTGTTTATGTTTTGTAAATGTCAAAGCATACCAGAAATGAAAAAGCAGGAAATCTTGTACCACTAAGGGGGTGTCCATTAATTACGTGCGGCGTTCAGGAGAGGAGAGGGTCGAGCCGAATCTCATCCAATCTTACTTTGAGGAGAGGGGGGGTCTCGGCAAATATCACGAATTTTTTTATCCGCAAGCAACAAAGTACGATTGCGAGACAAATGGGTCAAATTAAGTAAAACATGGAACATGGAACGCGAAAGTTTAAAAGTTAGTAAGTAAAACATGTTCCTCCACTGAAATATGGCTTAGTCTTATACAATAATATTTGTCATGTTATTGCGAATGCCGCCAAGTTGAGCAGTAGCCCATCGTTTGTTTACGCGCCACCGCCAGCCTTTACACCGCCTTTACACTAAAAACACATTAAAAAAAATTTCACGTAAGATTGGAGGAGGGGGACTCACCAGGGAGGCAGGGGCGTCAGAAAATCACCGAAACCCCTCACGTAATTAATGGACGCCCCCTAACACCTTGACATTTTATTACATCAGCTAGCCTCTGTATAAACATAAGGTCGCCTTAGTAACTGTAGTCTGCAACAACTTGAACCATGGTATTGATATAATATTCCACTTATTTCATTTAGACTCCTTCATATGATCTGCTACCCTGAGTCAGCGAGTCACACACATCCCGATCTTGATCAGAAGACTATTATCACGCGACTGTTGGAGGTATGGATATTAGTTTATTTAATAATATATCGTCCAGTCATCTTAGGGTTTCATATCGGAATCTAACGGAATAAGCTGAATACTTGTATAAATCTTTATTTTTATTTTGATAGTACTCAGTGTTCGTAAACTGTCGCGTAGTTCGGTTAAACATGATTGATTGTTTACAGAACCTGGAACAGTGGTCATTGCGTATGTCTTGGCTGGACCTACAGCTGATGTTTAAGCAGTTCCCTAGTGGATCTTCGGAATTAAGCGCCTGGTTGGATACGGTGGCGCGCGCCGTCATCAATGTTTTCCAACAGCCCGCACCGCCACCACCAGATAAAGATAGGTACGTAGTAAAAAATACAAACAATGGTTAAACAATTACATGGATAAATAAGTTCATTTCTATAATTTCTAAGCGCCTCAACGGATTTGGTTGCAGGTAGGGTGGGTATATTTACAATCCTAATATCATGCAGAGTGAGTGCCCAATTAGGAATTTTGACTATAATAAGTTCAGTCACGAGTTTGTCAACTCCTCACATGCTAGATTTTCAAGTAATTATAGTGATGATTTACAGGATCGGAATTGGGCTTAACTGGTTTTTAATAAAATAAGCACTCTGGTTAACTTTGTTTTTATTGTGTGATAGAACGGGCACAGATCGGGGCGTAGTTAGCACAAGCAAATGGTCGGAATCCGTTTGGTTGGTGGCACCTCTCGTAGCCAAGCTACCGGCAGCTGTCCAAGGACGGGTACTGAAACAAGCTGGACAGGTAACAAACATTATTACATTTTCGTTATCAGTGCGAAAGCAAAATAGGTGTATCAGTCAACACACCTGTATAATATACGTATGTGTTCTTAATCAGAGCACTCAGATGCATATACCTTTTATTCAAATTGATAAATTCCCTTAGCATTCAGTTAAGCTTGGTTTGCAGCTACGGCAGTATACAGCAGATATTAATAATATAAGATAAAGTCTTATTATTATTTTTTAACTTTATGGATTTTGCACAGTTCAGTGTTATCTCATAGTGAGTTTATGTAATCTTCCTCTGTAATGAGTTATTTTTAACAAACATTATTTTGTAAATCATTTTCTTGGGACTTAATTAATTGAAATAATTTAATTTTGCCTAGATATTGGAAAGTGGTTGGGGTGCTGGTTGCAGCGGCAATTGTTCCGGCGGCAGCGGTGGAGGTGGCAGTTCACATCGCGACTGCAAGAGCCATCAGAGTCCCAGTTACAAAGGGTTAGTGCCAAAAATACTTCGTTGCTTGAAATTTCTTATTTAGTTATGAATTTTCGTATTGAAAGTAGTTTTACACCTATCTATATCAGGCTATCGCCGTTCACTGGTGAACGAAGGCCTCGCCGGAGCGCCAACTATTCCGGTCTTGGAAAGTACCATCAGCATCCATCTGCTGCTAGCCATTTTCTTAAAGTCCACTTTTATTAACTAATTCTGACTAACTGTTACTTCAAAATTTTAAAATGTATGTATAAAATTATGTGTGTATATTTTTAAGACTCCTCCAGAGGAAGTTGTTGCAATGTGATAGTTTTTTACAAGTTACTGCACTATAGGTCCGCGGGAGGCGGCGCAGGAGGCAAGCGCGGCGTTAGCAGCGGAGGCTGCGCCGGGGGCTGCGCCTGCGGCGGGGGCAACGCCGTACGCCTCGCCAACGAGCCTCTGCTGTCGCTCGTGCTCACGTGTCTCCGACATCAAGATGATCAAAAGGTTATTCAAATTATTATGTCGTTTCAATAAAATACGATATACATCCTAACTCGCTGCAAAATTCATAGCTTAGAATAAAGTTAGACATGGAGGCACAATGTAAACGGTGGATGGGTAATAATCGTGGCGTTTCCTTACCCAGGAGAGCCTGCTGAGCTCGATCCACGCGCAGCTGCAGCACTACCTGACGCACGCGCGCGAGCACGAGCGCGCGGCGTGCGGCGACGGCTGGCAGGACGAGGCCGCGCCCGACGCGCTACAGCTGCGCTTCTCGCTCGCCGGCGGCATGTTCGACGCCATCCGCCGCTCCTACCAGCTCACCGCCGACTGGGCCGTGCTACTTACGCAGCTCCTCGCCCACCAGCTCATCGACGCCTACAACAATAGGTACCGCCCTGCACATGCCGGCTGTTCATTGTAGTGATGTGCCGGATATCCGTATCCGCGGATATCCAAGGGAGAAGAGAGATCCGTAACCGTATCCGTAGCCGTGACTTTTTTGGCGGATCTTTAAATACATATTACATATATGAAATTCTATATAGGTGATTTTGTATTCACTGTAAAACTCTTAGGTATGTGTTTGTAACACTATAAACAGTAACTTTTTTTCCGGCCAACGTCAAAATGAAAAAAAATTGGTTCTCCATTCAAATAACCAATCAAATGTTGTTAGTTTGTATGGAGAAACAATTTTTTTTCTTTCGTTTTCGGTGTTAGTGCAGAAGAAAAGTTGTTATTTATAATTTTACTAATATGCACTTCAGAGGTTTTCAGCAAATTTAAAATAACCCTGAATAATGGTTATTAGGTAACTATGAAAAACTATTGAATTCTGTTCAGATTACTTTTTATTTCTTAAAACAAATATTTGGCACCTTTGTATTGCAATCATTTATCGTACAGGTCAAATCAACTAGGCAGGTCGTAGGTACTGAAAGAGCTATCTTTATAATGAGATCAATCAAACATCTTTGTATTAGCTTGTTAAAATAATGAAATATTTAAATATCAACGGTAAAGCGTCAAGTGGCGACAACTATCAAGGTCACGGGCGCCGATTGAGTAAGAAACTTAAGATCCGTATCCGTATCCGCGGATCTTGACACCAAATATCCGTATTCGGATCCGTATCCGCGGATATACTTTGTTAACGATCCGGCACATCACTAGTTCATTGTGACGTCGCCGGGCTTTATATGGTCATCTCAACCGTGAAACATTTTTCTGCAATCCCAACTTAGATCGTCCATAAATTTTTCATCGTACCGTCTTTGACAACCTTATATGTCACTACCGATAACAATACTAAAGCCTTAGCTTATCAGCTGGACTGTGTTTACGACGCATAATACAAACCAGTTTTTGTAATTGTGACTATGGTAACTTAAATGGGTGTGATTGTTAACAGGTTTTGTTGTAATATACCTTGTTACAGGTGTATAAAAACCATCTTTAAAATTGTTTATGCTAAATCTGCTTTTTATTGCTTAACACTTTAACCATTTTGAATGATAACTATAATATTTTTTTGATTTCCTACTGTCCGTATCTTGTTTATATTTTTTTTTATTAGTACTGTTTTATTACATTTAAATGAAACTTTGTATTTTATGCAATGGTCTTAAAATTGTCGAGTACTAGTGTTATTCTTATTTCCAAAGGACCCCAGGTATCATTTTCAGGGGTCGTCGGATATAGCAGAATGGACAGTGTATTTACAATAAATTAATATAGTTTGTGTCGCAGCAACCTGTTCACGACCTTGATCGACATGCTTGCCACCTTGATTCACTCGACCCTGGCGGACGGTGGCGATGACAACAATAGGAAACACTACCAAAATCTTATGAAGAAATTGAAAAAAGAAATTGGCGAACGACATGGACCCTCGGTTCAGTGCGTGCGGCAGCTACTACCGCTGTCTAAGAATACTATTATAGAGGTAGTTATTATTTGAATTGTTATTATTCTTTTATGATTATTCTGTTATTTATAGTTGTAATAAGTGTAGCTGTAATTGATATCCTCTTAACCACTAAAAGCTAATCGTTATAACGTCGTAAATCCACTTTGGACTTCACTGACTTTTATACTCACTTCAGCCTATCGTTTTTATTTTTAACTAACTTCCAAAAAGGAGGAGGTTCTCAATTCGTCGGAATCTTTTGCAATGTATGTTCACCGATTACTCGAAGACGTCTGAACCGATTTGAAAAATTTTTTTTTTTTGTTTGAAGAGATAAAACAAAAAAAAATTTTAAAAAATTCACCCATTCCCCAGGTGCCATGCTACCCATTTAAATTTTATTAAAATCAGTCAAGCGATTTTTAAAACATCAACAAAAATCTAAAAATTATACATATCGATGACATTTTCGTTTACTTACGAAACCTTGCTGTCTCTTGGTCTTTGTTAGTACCTATTGTTTGAAATCGGTTCAACTTTTTTTCAAAAGAATTTTCTTTTATTTTAAATTCTTTTTCTTTCGTTTTTATAGGTGATTGCCTGCGAGCCAATAGGATGCGTAGTAGACCAAAAAGGAAATAAAATCACAGGATTCGACAGTGATAAGAAACAGGTAATTTTTTTCATGACAGCGTAAATCTAATTTAGATTACCAATGATATTATCATAAGACGAAAGAAAAGGTAGACTAGTTATTTTTTAAATGAATAAACAGGGTCTTCGATTGACGGACAAGCAACGCGTATCCAGCTGGGAACTTGTTGAGGGGGGAAGGAACCCTGCACCTTTGTCATGGGCCTGGTTCGCTGCCACTAAAATCGAGAGGAAACCGCTTACATATGAGAATGCGCACAGGTTTTACATATTTCACTATTATAACTTCAAATTTTATATCGTAAATAAGAAAGAAATAAATTAATCTGACAGCTAAAGATTTTAATACCAATGGAAGTTGTATCAATTTTTCAATGCATTCAATTTGATTGCACGAATGGCGTAGTGGTTTAAGCGGACACCACGCCGCTTCCTACTACGCTGAGTGTTATGGGTTCGATCCCCACATGAGACGACACTTTGTGTGATCCACAAATTGTAGTTCTGAATCTGGGTGTTCATGTATGTTTGTAAAGTCCCGCGTGACAGAGGATATATTTCTAGTGCGAGAGTTGTCTTTAAAAGATAAACAAAAAACAACTCAACTGTAAAGAATTTTAACGATTTCGCTCATTTAGGTTGCTGAAGTATCATACGCACAGTCTTGTAAAGCCCCTAAGTTATTATTTGGAGCCGCTGCCACTTCCACCAGAAGACCTCGAAACAAATGACATAAAACAGGTACGTAATATTTGATATATTTTTTAATCATCATTATTATCTTTGGGCCCCTTTTCCTCTTTTATTTGAAGTCCGCGCAACGTTAAATGCCTGTCACTAACCTTCCTTGGAAATATAATCATTTTCAGAATAAACTAAGGAAGAAGGTAAATTAGAGAAAGAAAAACGAACAGAAAAAGTTGGAAAGTGGGAAGTTTTTCGTAGAGGGCAGGGTCGCTAATGTTCGTTCTGTGATTAGAAGGACAGGCACAACAACTGGCCATATTGTTCAAATAGAAAACGTGTTCTATACTCTCTAAGTTAGTCGTTGATTAATAAAGTGGTATGTTTCCTAATGATGTTCCTTTGTTAAGGATCCTGGAAGTCTGGACTCAAGCCCTACTGGCGCTGGAAAAACAAGATCTCGTAACGTTCCATGCAAGAACATTAAGAAATCTAAACCTACTACACCGGTAACTGTAATAACAATTTTGAGTACTATTTATTCTGTCAGTTCTCTCAGATTTAACTTTTCATCAGCCTAGCCGTATCGGATTAACTACATAAATTAATATATTGCAAATATTATATTTTTACTAGTGCAATTTGTACGTAGTTTAATAAAAAATAGTCTATAGCAATTATCAGTTGTATGGCTTTCTATTACCCAAGAATTTTCAAGCGTACTTACAAACTTTAGCTAATTATAATGTAAATAAATAGTGCATGAAAATGGAGTCAAATAGTATTAAAGCTTTTTTAAAAAATTGTATGTTATCTTCATAGACAAACGGAGTCCCAGCGCAGGGCGGAGTGGGTACACCTGGCATGCCGCCTGCACCTCAGCAGCAACCACAATTCATGCAGCAACAACAACAATGGTTCCCACCGCCTGGACAAAACTACTACAACCAGCCTGGCCCTGGACCTGGTAATACCCCCTAATAAAACATATGTTTAATTATTATTAATTTGCAGGAAGCTGTATAATATTATTATTAACGTGAGAACTTTACCCTCGACCCTTGAAGGATGGTAATCCTTTTCTCACAGCCATTTAAGACGCATTTGTCAGACGGGGGACCCCCCTTGTAACAGATATTTATTTACCTGTTTTTTATTTATGAAATGAAAGAAATTTAATAAAATTTTGATATTTAACTAATTAGTTAAAATATATAAGTTAAGACTGTAAAACCGTTTGCAAGTAGTGATGTGCCGGATCGTTAACAAAGTATATCCGTGGATACGGATCCGAATACGGATATTTGGTGTCCAGATCCGCGGATACGGATACGGATCTTAAGTTTCTTACTCAATCGGAGCCCGTGACCTTGATTGTTGTCGCCACTTGACGCTTTGCCGTTGATATTTAAATATTTCATTATTTTAATAAGCTAATACAAAGATGTTTGATTGATCTCATTATAAAGATAGCTCTTTCAGTACCTACGACCTGCCTAGTTGATTTAGTGTAATACGATAAATGATTGCAATACAAAGGTGCCAAATATTTGTTTTAAGAAATAAAAAGTAATCTGAACAGAATTCAATAGTTTTTCATAGCTACCTAATAACCATTATTCAGGGTTATTTTAAATTTACTGAAAACCTCTGAAGTGCATATTAGTAAAATTATAAACAACAACTTTTCTTCTGGACTAACACCGAAAACGAATGAAAAAAAATTGTTTCTCCATACAAACTAACAACATTTGATTGGTCATTTGAATGTAGGACCAATTTTTTTTCATTTTGACGTTGGCCAGAAAAAAAGTTGCTGTTTATAGTGTTACAAACACATACCTAAGAGTTTTACAGTGAATACAAAATCACCTATATAGAATTTCATCTATGTATTGAAAGATCCGCCAAAAAAGTCACGGAAACGGATACGGTTACGGATCTCTCTTCTCCCTTGGATATCCGCGGATACGGATACGGATACGGATATCCGGCACATCACTATTTGCAAGACTCATTTCTTATATGTTTTCAGTGTGTATTTATGTTTATTAAAAGGATAGGAATCCGTGTGGTGACGGATTAAGAATACAGAGTGTCACCGCCCCTATTCATCCCGTGGGTGTCGTAAGAGTCGACTAAAGGAGCAAACTACGCAGGACAACAGCACTGAAAAGAGAAGGAAAACTTGAAACAAACACTATACCAACCCGTCTGGCCAGCGTAGTATAGTAGGCCAAGACCTCCTTTCTAAGGAGAGGCCTATGTCCAGCAGTGAACTGTTATAGGATGTTGATGTTAAAAAGGATAGGATTAAAATATTAGACAACCAGATGGTTTATGAAAATCTATGTATTTAGCAGTCCGGTCTATGTACATAATTATATGATTATTACAGCTGGCGTTAGTCCCCGCGGTGTGACACCTCCTTCCAACAATCAGTCGAAGCAGGCGCTCAGCAACATGTTGCGCCAACGAGTACCTTTCAATCAAATGACGCAGATGCAGGTAATTTCATCTTTGCACACTAAAATCATCAACGATACCCACAGTAAATAAAATAGTTTTCTACTGTTGTGAAACCCACTGACTGTTAAATTTCCTTTTTTGGATATTTGTCGCAAACACCAATGGAAAATGAAAAAAAAAACCATTTAATGCACCAACGACAGTGATCAATAATTTAACTGGCCTATTGGTCTAGTAGTTAGTAAACCTAACTTCAGAGGCAGAAGTCGAGGGTTCGATTCCCTCGCGGGAAAAATAATTGTTTGATGAGCACGACAGTGTATAAGACAAGTTATTTGTTATTATAAGTATTATTAAATTACTTAGATAGTTCTTATTGTACACACTGACAGACACAATATAGTTGAGTATAAGAAATAATATCATTTAAAGTGGTGACAAATGGTGTTTAAAGAATTTTTAGACATTGAACGAATTTATATCAGATTTATTGGATTTTCCTAGACCGGCGGATACCCAGGCGCTCCTCACGCTCGCGCGCAGTTCCCACGACAGGCCATGAGACAAATGCAGCCCAACCAAATGGGCGCTATGCAGTCAGCGTAAGTACATTCGCATACGTATTGAAATATTATCATAAAAACTCATTTTTAATGCCACATTAATAAATCACCAGCACCTTATGCCTAGTACTGTAGATTACATGGAAAATCATATCAATATTTGTAATTTATAAAACTGATCTTTCTCCCTCTATCTTTTTTGCTAATGTAAACTTTTTCGACTACAATTCTAAAAAAAAAAATAAAAAAAAAATATCGTTTTAAAAAACTAAAAAACACGCTTTCTATAGAAAACCAAACTAAAAAATAGAAAATAAATTTGAAAAAAAGCGTTTGGTGCCTGTTGTCAATAGTAAAAAGTTTTTTTTTTAAATTAGTGTATTGTCATCGGTCCTCGATATATCTACAAACTACATCTACCTGAAAATCGTATATAACCATGGCATCGTACGAGTGATCAAGGGGTTTCAAGTTCGAACCCCGTACACAACGGACATAATAATTTTTAACAAGTATTTAGATTAGCTGTAGGGGTTAATATGTACCTTGACTTATTACTAATTGCCCTTAATTTTTTATCTAGACACCATAACAAATTTTATCACACACATCTTTTAGTTTTTAGATGGTTAACTAAACTATGTCAGATATATATTTTTATGATTTGTTTTTAATATGCCTTTTAGACAAATGAATCCAATGAGTGGAATGCCAAGTATGGGGCCTATGGCTCAAATGGGAGGAGTTCAAATGCCAAGTCAAATGGCCGGGGGACAAATGGCAGGTGGACAAATGGGCGGTGGTCAGATGGGCGCAGGCCAGATGGGTGCCGGGCAGATGGGAGGAAGCCAGATGGGGGGGATGGGTGGACAGATGTTTGGAGGACAGTATGGAGGTATGCAACAGAGCTATGGCGGGTATGGGCAGCAGATGATGCAAGGAGGACAACAACAAATGATGAATCAGGTATAACAAAACGTAATTAAGATTATTAATACAATAAATTAAATCTTATGATTTGTTTAAAGCAGTTCTAATAGTTTTGTTTTATTTGATTAAGAATTTAAAAAGGATTTTTTATTACTGTTTTCTTCTTTTCGACTTTTACTTGCTTAATATTTATTGATTAGGTATGTTCATTTCTATTTTCTATGCAGACTTTGAGATACCTCAAATACTTAAAACTAATGCATTTGAAATCAGGAGACATGCCATTCGAAGAAAACAGTGAAAATGATACCGTTTTTAGCTAGATAAAACAATATAGAAAGTGTGTATTATGAACTTTAATTTACAGGGAATGAGTCAAAGTGTAAACCAAATGGGACAACAAGTAAATCCTATGAGCCAAGGAGTGAACAGCATAGGACAAAACGTCGCTCAAATGAGCCAAGCCGTTGGCCAACCCTCACAATTGTCGCAGACTATGGGACAGATGAGTCAAGGCATGGGCCAAATGGGGCAGCCTATGGGACAAATGGGTCAAATGGGGCAAGGAGGTGGAATGGGCGCAATGAACAGTCAAGGAGGATCAATGGGTCCTCAGGGAGCTAATGCTATGGGAGGATTCCCTGGACAACAGTCATTCCAACAGGTACTGGTTCTATTATTCACACCATTTTATTAACTGAGTTAGTTAAACGACCTAACTATAAAATTATATCTCAGAAGTTAATTTTTATTTCAATTGAATGCATGGCTGGCTTAGTGCTTCAAGTTGTTACCTCGCCGCTTCCTACCGCAGTTAGTGTTGTGGGTTCGATCCCCACCTGGGACAAAAATTTGTGTCATCCACCAGTTGTTCTGAATCTGAGTGTTCTTTGAGTCCATTTCATAAATGTTTGTAATGTTTTTTTGTCCACTGTGATACAAGATATATTCAATAAAGAAAAAATAGTCTACTTCTAATTGTGACATCAAAATCCAAATTTGCATATATAATATATAGATGACCATAATAAAGTTTGACATTTTGAAGATGAATATTAGAACCCTTCAGTGTTTTAAGTTTTAAGTTCTGCCTAATACTAATAGTTGTATTCACAGTCTAGTTCAAGAGACGGCATTCATTATCTTTAACATATTCATCTGAAATCACGTAGACATTTACGTGTTACTATGACGGCATTCAAACAAAACATAATATTTAATTTATTATTAACATTTTAAAATATAGGAAACAAATGTAATTTTTTTTAGACCAAACTAATTTTCAACTAATTCTAAAACCACCATATTACCTGTGTCTTTAGAATCTCATGGGCGGAAGAGCGAGCCAAGAAGCGTATTTGGCGCAAAGACAAAATCCACGCCCACCTTACATGCAGGTTAGTGTTACTGGCCATTATTGTATTGTTATGCCTTCTGCTTTTAGAATTCACCACAGATAAGTGTACGGGATGACTCATTCGGTAGCAAAAATATATACGACTCTATACAAAAACAACTCCTCATACGTTTCTTCAGTTGTAAAACGAACGAACAAACGGTGAACGCTGTTATTGACTTTACAGCTAGTAGGCGCCGGACATATTTTGCAAATTCATGTTAGTTTAGTTTATTAAATAATGTATGAAAAAGGATGCCTGTAAGATGTTGCTTATTTTTGTAAGAAATTGATAAATCCGCACCTTGTACATATTATGGCATACAAAATCTGATTGTTATTGTTGTGTTTGTTTAAGAATGAAGTATACTTACTAACTTACTAATGTGACATGTTCAGCAGGCACCCAACGTCACAATGGGTGGTATGGGGGGTCCCGCACCACCTTACCCTCGCGGCATGCAGCCGCAACAAAGTGCGCAGTACCAGCAACAGATAACACAGCAGCGTATGCGGCAACAGATGATGGCCATGCAGCAGCAACAGCAGCAAGGACCTTTAGTACAGCATTTACAGCGACAACAACAGTATCAGCCGCCTTATTAATATATGGGAACTTAGCTTCTTAACAATAGTTGAACTGAAGTGTGACACCATGACACAACAGTGACCTTTTTAGGCCTAGAAACAAATCACATTTCTTTGGTAAATATTTAAATATTTCGGAGTCAGTCAAATTTAATCGAAACCATCTACGTTTCGAAATATTTATTCTAATAATCTTTGCCCCAACTCGTTCACTGCTCAATCCCTGGCAAACACTTAATTGTAAAGGTTGGTAGCCGCAGGTGGCTTTTACACTCTTACTCACATATATTCAAAAATAACATTTTAGCACAACCTTTGCACTTACCTTGGAATAAGAATGGACCAAGTTAAGAACAACTACAAATTTTATACGAATAATTTTTTATCATTGACATCACAGGCTCGGCAAAGTTATTGATGGTGATAGTTTCCAGAATGTTAAATCAAAATGGAATATACAACTTTTTTCCGATTCTCTTGTCATTAAGTATATTATCTATACAATTAACAATGTATGTTTATATTATTATATGGTGTCCGTACCATCATTAAGTAATGCGAATGATGACGTCAGGTCCCTAAAATTCTTGTTAACAAAGAACTACTGTAATTCGGTTTAGATCAATGTTCTTAAATGTTATACTTGTACTTTATAGGATACTCTATATCTTCATAAGTGTGCATATTCCACCATCACATTGATTTAATTTCATAACCTTGAAATTTCAAGCATATTCACAGCTATTCAAGCATTTTGTGTTATTCAGTCGCCAAAAACTATTATAGACTCGACTAGCCGATGTTATTATAATATCAAATGGAAACCAAAAAGAAAATTTAGTAAAATATTTTCTAAAAGTTTATTTCTGGTGATATTATTATAGACTGGACAGTTTTACAAAATATGAATGTCTTTTTTATGTAATTATATGTGTGCCGAACCAAGTAGTAGTTGTATCTGATGTTATATATTAGTGAAATTAATGTGTATTTATTATTTGATTTCAAGAATGATCTTATTTTCCGAGTTCCTTTTTAATGAGTGCTCTTATAGCATTTCTTTTTTTATTTATTGTGGGTTCTAAATCTCGACAGAAATCGTACAATATATGTATGCAAAATGAAAGTACTGCTTGTTTTATTAAATAGTAGTACAATTGATGAACTCACGTGTTTTTAGTATTAAAGTTATATTGTAAATAATTTTGCTTAATTTTTAAATGTAAGGACAATTGAGGTATAATATAGTTGTTTTATTTTTACCCTTTTATTTGTTAGATGTGTCAATCCGTATATGTGGACGAAAAAGTTCGTTCAAGTTCCGGTTAACACGCCTTAAAAATTAAAATCGCGCTATAATGTAACTAGCACATTATTTCTCCAATATCTTTCCACTTAAAATCGGTTTAAGACCATTACGGTTTCGACGTAACGGAGGCACTAGCCAAAGTGTCTCATGATGACGCCTAAGGAAGGAATTGCTTTGTGGCTGGAATCTCCCTTGATCGTGAAGCCACATGGTAAAAAAAATAGCATAAGATTTACAATTTTTTATACCAGTCTAGATTAGGTCTATGTCTACTGCGAAGGAATAGTTAGCGTTGTAAAACTTGTAAACGCACATAGTTAGGTGGTCAAACTGCATCAATGTCAAATGACAAAGCGAGGTTGAAGATTGAAAAGATAGCATATTTTTTTATGACATTTTATAGCACACATTTTATGTACCTATAATTAATAACTGACAAAAAAGTGCAAAAAACACGTTTTACTATAATTTTCATGTATCTATAGTTGTTTATCCGTACATTTCTTGGTTGTACTTAGAATTATCCTAATAATAAATATTGAATATAAATTTAAAATATACCTTAATGACACGGAAAACTAATAGTATAACTAGCGGCACGTAAGTCTAGCGCTGAGCGGAACGTGGAAGGGATAGCCGCGCATGGGTACTATCGCGCACGCAAATATTAACTTTAGTAAATAGTTAATGTTATAGAGTGTAACTTCTGACAGTTGTTCACGTGCCAGAGTCGTCAAATTTGATTTTTTTTTATTTTCTCAACAATAGGTACAAAAGGTAAGTAAGTAATCATACTATATAACATTATAAATGTGAATGTAAGTTTGTTTGTTACGCTTTCACGTGAAAACTACTTAACCGATCATCATGAAACTTTGTACACATATTCTTGGAGGTTTTAGAAGTAACATATGATACTTTTTATTAAAATAATATTTTTTACGAAAGATAAAACTGCGAGCGAAGCCGCGGGTAAAAACAGTATTTCTTCTAGGCATATTCACTGTTTAAAGTCACAAACAAAAAATAACTTAACAAAATCAAACTTAACAAAAAACAGCAACAAAAATTAACAGCGATAACAATATAACTCAGAACGCGACTGTACTCTGGAAGCACGCGGCGTGTCGTATCAGTGCGGGGGACGTAATGCGACTGGAGAGCCAATCGGCGCTACGCACGCCCGCCCTTCGTCCCTCTTACCCCACAAGATACCTGATTTTTGACTTCTGCGCAGTAACTGTCACCGCTAGAGTTTCGTGCCGCTACTTATAATATGGAAAGATAGGTGATGACTCTCCAAAGGGGGGATCTTACTAAACTTATTGATCATACCTGGCGGACTGCACCCCAACTGTTGATGTTTCGAAGTTGTAAAGGGGCACCAATTTGTTTAAAACAAAAAAAAAGTCAGGTAACCAAAAATTGCCTTCAATTAAGTGTAAAACACAGTTCTTTTATTTTTGTAGGCGAGTTCTCAACCTTATAAAACGATTTATTTGGTGTTTAAAACGGCAACATTTTATTTAAGACGTTTTAAATCGGTTGCTTTTACATCTATAGTTCTACTAGACCCTACTAACTGTTCCTCATGGTTTGGACAAGTGCAGTTTTTTGCCACTCTTCCCTATCACACCGTCACTGGTAGGGCTGAGTGGAACAGCCCTTTCTTCCGTCGTTCATGTGTCTCTTTTAGATAACATTAAAAGTATATTTTTGTTGGAAATAGAAAACGCCAAAGTTACATAGAATTTTAGTTTACTCTGTAAAACGTGATAACTGCACGTAAATCGAAACGTTTGTTTATAAACTAATATCATCTGCTGTCAAAGTAAAGTTAGAGGTTTTTGAGGTTATGTTTAGTTATGTTTTTTTATAGATCTATTTGAAATCTGAGAAAATGATTCATTATACAAGAACAGTTAAGAGTATTACTATTGCGAATCTTATAAATGTGAACAAATGTAAGTGCGTTATTAGGAAAATACACAATGTTGGCCTAAATGATATACCGAAAATAACAGCGACAGATATTCGAAAACTATTACGACAAAAGGGTTTTGCAGTTCAAGATGGATATACAGCCCTAACCACAAAATGTTCTATATGCTCAGGAGATCAAAAATGTTCTGATAGCAAAGTATATGTTAATAAAACTACAGGTAAGTAATGTAAGCATAACCTAGAAAATAATACGTTTAATATAAGTGTACTGGGTGAGCTTCATTCTTAATCTTTTTCATTAGCCTACGCTGTTACGCCGTATTTTGGTTTGTTAAACTTATCAAGGCTGATGATGATAAAGAGAGCTTCATCATCATCAGTCTATTGCAGTCCACTGCTGGACATAGGCCTCTCCTATTACATATCACTTAATCTCTTAAATAGAAAAAAAAAAACAAAATTTAAAAAATATATATTTTTTTAGCCCTTTTACAGTCAACCCTTAAAAATTCGTTAATTTAAATTTCTGGAGGTGATGATATGTATGTATACTTGAAATACATGAGTATGTATATCGGCAGTCTGGTTACCGTATTAAACTGTGCTCGGTTTGAGATCAGAGAGAAGTGTGAAAAGTCTGAAATTATTATTACTATTGTTTTTTTCCTTTAGGGCACTCTTTGTGCACCCATAATTTTCCTTCAATAAATCATACTCATTATCAGCTGACTGCAACATGATTGATTTTAGAATCTAGGTTTCCTAATAATCAACTAAATGTCAGTTTCATTCTTTACAGGGTACTTTGTCTGCCCTAAATGCAATGTCCATGGTGATTGGAACATAATGGAAAGACTTGTAAAAAAAGCTAAAGTCGAAGCAACAATCAAAGATTTTATTGAGCAGTGTCAACAAAAGGCAGAACAATTTCATAAAGCCTGGGAGACAGTATTAAATGAAACAACATCATTAACAAAATTAAATGAAACTGAATTGTTAGATTTGTTTAGGTTATTTGAATTACCTGTAAGTATAAAACATACAACCACAAGAAACCGAACGTTTCAAGCATGGTTTTTGCGCCTTTCGAAATATTATCAACTTGCTGACATATGGTACTTTTTCTGTCGCTCAAGAGCAATAAATTTTCTCAATTTTTGCAACATTGGGATTATTGGTATATAGCCTTCCTTGATAAATGGGCTATCTAAAACTAAAAGAATTTTTCAATTCAAACCAGTAGTTACTGAGACTAACGCATTGAACCAAGCAATCTCTTCAGTCTGGTACCAGCGACTTCGTTCGAAAAGCTGCCTTAGTGGGTTCGATGTCCCGACTGGGCAAAATTTTAAAGGGTTTTTTTCAGAGGAAAAATAGCCTAACTTATTCCTTATATAGACAGCTACCTGGTGGTAAAATATTATCGAAATCGGTCCAGCCGTTTAGAAGATTACCCAGAATAAACAGACAGACAGACAGACAAAAAAAAATAAGCTAGTGTTTAGGCATAGGTATCATGCAAATAACTGTGTAAGCATGAAAAACCCTATAATTTTGACATTACAAACAGAATTCAATTTTATTTATTTGTATAGATTACTGAAGAATATAGAGCTAACACTTTCCAGTTTGAGTTATAGGTGTTGTGACCATGACCTGATCTCTTTCCTAACTTTTTCCGCTAACTGACTACCTACTTGTCAATGAACTCCCCTTAGTGATACTAAAATTATAGTAGATCTAATATTTGTGGTTAATATGCCTCTACCTGCCTTTTCACGGATCTAGGCATGAGCATATGTATATAATATTTCTTCTTGTGCCTTTTACAGTTCCATTCTGAAGCCAACAAAATACTCTCAGATGTGAGAGTTTCATCTGACCGCACTGTATTATATTTTCCCTTAAAAAATTCCTTAGACAAAATAGTAGGCTATCGGAAAGTTCAAGCAGGGAGAGAGGACGAGACTGAAAGTTTTGGCCTGCACACTGCAGGGCTATTCTCGTGCCGGGCCCCAAAAATCAGTCGTAATGATGAAGCAATTCTAGTTCCAACAATAGAAGATGTATTAAATTTAGCTGCACAAAAAGTTCCTGGTAAGTATACTTAAACACTTTTTACACGCTTTTTATTAGCTTCACCTGTATGTTTGTTTGTAACCAACTCCTTTGGGTGTGATTTTGACTGACTTTAAATGGTCAGAATTCGTTCAAACTTTGTAGATATATCGAGGACGATGACAATCACAAATTTAAAATAAAATAAATAATATTAAAAAAAAAAATAATACTTAAAAACTAAAAACCACGCTTTTAATAGAAAACCAAACAAAAAAATGGAAAATAAATTATAATAAATTTGAAAAAAGCGTGGGGTTCTTTTTACTATTGACAACAGGCACCCAACGCCATTTTTCAAATTTGAAAGAGTGTTCTTTTAGTTTTTGAAACTATTTTTTTTATTTTTTACTTACCCTGCCATAACCGGATCTTAACTACTATAACTTTTGATATATTATTAAGAGACGATTTTAAAGACATTCCTATGTGGATACGACATTAGAAACATGAGAGCGTTTTAGTTTCACCACCACTCTCTTCACTATGACTTAACGACACTGAGACTGAGTTACTCTAATAGGAATAGACACTTAATCAAAAACTATATATTAAAAAGTTACTTATTAAATCTACTGTAAAAACACCTCTCCTGTTAAAAATTATGACTACAACACAACCTTGCTCAGAAGTTTAAGAAGACTGCCCTGCCTACTGGAGATCACCACATGCTGTCTGCATGTGGTGATTATTGTGTGATTACAACATTCTGAATTAAACACAGCGATTGTTGCCAGGAACCCTTATATGGTTGAGTAATTGCAGCCTGCCGCCCATAGTTCTGCCCACATTAGAAAATTATCAAAAATTGTGCCTATGGGGCGACTGGGACAACATGAGGGCTGTAGCCGAAAAACTAGGCGAAGAAAGATGTAGATTTGTAAGGTAATTATGTATTCGGTACTAGTTTTGCTAGTTGTTCAATAATAAATAATTATTGTCCCGTTAAAATGAAGCTAGTGACTATAAAAATGTAACTAGTTTTTAATTTTACCAAATTGCAAAAATTTAAGCGTGAAAATTTAAATTGTAAAATTTTATTAGGTTCAAAATATACATTTCCTGAAAAATACTGTAACACTATTATTGTTATTGTAATATTAGTCATAATATTGAGTCATAAGAAGTATTACACTTATTTAATTTATTAGTAGAAAATTCTTAGTGAAACCAGTTACACGATTAATATACTACAGTATATTAATCGTGTAACTTTTATTTTTCCCTGCCAATATAGGCCCACTTATATCTTTATGATTATGACGTAGGCCCATGGATGGCCTGGTAACGGCATCGGAGGCGGCAGCAGCAAACCTACCGCTGAAGTCATTAGTAGCAGAGGCGAAGCCAGCTGCTCACCGTTCCATTACAACATTCGCCGCACTAAGGGACGATGTCTACTTCGAAGTTACCAATGTTGATAAGGTAGCCACAATTCTATGATCATGATAATTTGGATGCCTCACCATATTTAAAACCTTGAATTGGCTATAATAGAGTCGGATAATTTTAATAATACCAAGATTGTTAGTGTATTTAAAAATTTAGTTTCGTGCTCACTGCTTTAAATCTCATGAGTTCAAAACCTTTTATGTAATACAGGTTCGCGGTATAAAATGGCGTCGTTTCCCTGCACTGACACGTCTTCTAGGCGGGCATAGGCGAGGCGAACTGACCGTATTGACCGGCCCTACTGGCTGCGGCAAGACTACTCTCTGCGCCGAGATGTCTCTCGATTTGGCGCAACAAGGGGTTTGTACTGTCCACTATAAAATTCGTTGTTTTTTTTTTATGGTTTAAGGTGGCTAATGAACAGACGGTTCACCTGATGGTACCTGCAGCTCAAGAGCCACAAGTGTTTTGCCTTCCTTTGAGTCTGCCCGCTCCCCCACCTCTATAATCAGGGGGACGTGGTTTGGTAACCTAACTCACTCGGTGAAAGACAACGTAAAAACGCCACATTCTCTACTAGGGATAGAATAAAATCACAATCACATGTGATAAACATACTAATTTACAAGACCACTGCGACTTAATTATTATTATTACGCTAGCATAAGACTCGCAAAAGGTCTAAACCTAAAAAAGGTCGAATCTTCGATAAAAAAAAAATTCATTGATTTTAATGCCATTTATCTTTGTCTATGACGAAATCACAATCACATGTGAAATCGCTTTGTCTAAAACCAATCATTTCATGAAAATGAATATGATTTAAAGTAGCAGTAATTTCCATGTCTATTCTCTACTACATACTCGAATGTTACTATTCCATATTGTTTATTTGATGCTCATGTAGCTTATAATGCCTAGGCCATCGGTATTACAATCAAACGCTGAGCAGTGCATAAACTAACATGAACATTAGAAATGTGTGACTTATTTTATTTGTAATATTGTTTTTTTATCTCTTCTCTGTGGTTAATAAATTATGTTTTACCTTATAAATCTAGGTAAACACGCTGTGGGGTAGTTTTGAGATCCGCAACTCGCGATTAGCTCGCACCATGCTGCAGCAGTTCGCAGGCGTCCCTCTTGAGCAGAACCTTCAGGACTTCGACAAATATGCTGACGAGTTTGAAAAATTGCCCATTTACTACCTAGCCTTTCACGGACAACAACCGATCAAAGTTGTTATGGAGGTATCATAAGAATATATCATAGTAATAATACCTTCACACGTCTCACACACGGTCGTCTGATCCCAAACTAGTCAGAGCCTGTACTATGGTAACCAGACTACTGATAGACATACTTATATATTTCTATACAGGGTTTAAGGGACATCGTAACGAATACTGAAATAGTGCATTCAGACCATCATTCTGAGTCCAAAATCATTGGAATTTTCAGCCGGAAAATTAAACTTTTTGTGCAATCACCTGTCAAAGGTAAAGGTCATTTCCCGTAGGTATCGCACAAAAGTAATAAGTACATGTGTATTCCGTGCGAACAGTTTACACACACTAACACAAGTTCGTGGCCGGAGGAGAGGCCCCGCGCGCTTCGGCTGTTTGATTAATTACATTGCAGTTTTTAACCGTATGCTGTATTTATTAATTTGTTTTAGGTGAATTGTTCTATTTACTCATTGTGATATCATTTTTAACCAATAAAATGGGATATTATAAAAAAAAAGATAATTTTTCCGGCAGAAAATTCCAATGATTTTCTGCTCAGAATCATGGTCTGAATACACTATTCTCGATTTTGTGTTTCTATGTATAATAAGTATGTATTTACAAAAAAAAAGTATATATGTATATGTATATATCAGTTGTCTAGTACCCATAGTACAAGCTCTGCTTAGTTTGGGACTAGATGGCGTTGTGTGAATATGGTACAATATTATTTATAATTATTTTTATTATTCGTTATGATGTCCCTTACACCCTGTATACAACATATTAAGGATAAATTACACTCAGATACAGAACAAATGATCGTACTCATCACACAATTATTTGTACTGGGTGGGAATCGAACCCACGACCTCTGGCTTAGCAGTCAGGGTCACTAACCACTAGACCAACAGGCCTGTCGTAATATTAGCTTACTACGCAATTTAATAGCGAGAGGTTAGGTTTATGCCTTCGTAAACCTCTTGCTCTATTTTTTTTTTAATCAAGCATAGTCTAAATCAATATTACAAATGCGAATTATTTTGTTACACTTTGACGTCTTAACTTCTCAACAAATCATCATGAAATTTAGCATACATATTGACTTTTTATAGGAAAGGACGTAAAGATATAATAAAACATCTACATCAGTATAGACCGTGCAAATAAAGAACCAATCTGTAAATGTCGGCCTACTACTACTACTACCTATGGTAACGTCAGCAAAGTTGATTGTCATTTGTATTTATTTTAGATTGTGATTTAAGAAAACCATTAGCTTCTCACGATCATTATTATCAATAGAGTTTCTAAACACAAGTCAAGTACAACTTAAATAAAATAACCAGAAAATGTTTATAATGATCATGCTCACTGCTGTCATTAACGGGCATAAACCAGATTGGATACTTGCACGGGCGTTACTAAATTCCAATAGGTGATAAAGACCTATTTTTTTTTCTTATTCAAAATACTTAAATCATTGTAGACGATTTGTCCAGCATCACTATGTAAAATCTTCCCTCGTTTATAACCACTCTAAAATCGAAACGTAACATAAACTCAAGAAAAACAACAAATAAATATAAACAGTAACAAACGGTAACAGAATTTTATTTATTCACGGTGCCGCGCTGTGTTACTATAGACAAACACAGGTGTGAGAGAGATAGCATAACGGCCGGCCGCCATTTACAGATCGTTTCTTTAATTACGCAGGTTATATCCTATGTTATTATAAGATATTTTTCACCAAGCAAATAATAATGTTCTAATTTATTCATCATATGTTATTAACTTATTAGGCAGTAGAACACGCCCGCTACATGCATGATATATCCCACGTAGTGGTGGACAACGTGCAGTTCATGCTGGGTTTGGGAGAAGAGCGAGAAGGTGACCGCTACCAGCGGCAAGACGCTGTCATCGCTGCCTTCAGGACCTTCGCCACTGCCAGGCATTGTCACGTCACGCTAGTTATGCACCCTAGGAAGGTTAGTTAATGTTGATTGACTTTTACATATAGAAAAAACTTCTAAAACACAGCTAAATCTATACTTACTAATATAATAAAACTGAACATCTGCTAATATCAGGCTGTCCAACGCTAAAATTATTTTAGTGTTGGACAGCCCATTTATCAAGGATGGCTATAGGCCATATAAATCACGCTGCGGCCAATAGGAGCCGTGCATGAATGAAAAATGTACCTTTTGAGAGACGCAGACGATGTTGCGCGGGTCAGCTGGTAACTTACTTTAAGTAACTTACAAAAAAATATATAGATATAGAGTCTGTTGTAAAGCGTATCACAAAAAATGTAATATTAGATAACACCGTTCAAAATACGTCAGTTAAAATAAAAATTATAATTTTAGTACGAAAATACAGAAATGCAAATTTAGAACACAATAAAAACAAAAAAATAATGTAATTAGAACACCATTGTTAACATGAGTCCTTAAACTTTCGACGGCAGCGTCGCAATGTCTGTAAACTTTACATTCATATTACTTACTAATCACTTATTTCACTTGCTTTTAAAAAGTAGGTACTTTGCTTAATCTTTGTACCTCCCTTACAAAATTCGGCAGTCTGTAGGACATACACGATTGATTTCATACCTAGGTTTGTCCGTAAAGCTAAAGATGCGTTTTGATAAAGTTCCCCGTAAACTAACATCATGTCAGGATATTCCGCGGCTGTGAAGGTCATTCACGGCATTATGGATGTTGATACCGATAATCCAACAAAATTAAACGACTGATAATTCACTTAGTTTCACACACTACACACACAACCTAATACTGACACTTTTAAAAATAAAATTAGCGGGACTCGTTACAACAAGAAGTCTTGCGCACAAGATAACATTAATTGTTCACACCATTGCCGTGTATTATGACGAAAGGAATGAGATTAAACAATTATTAACACAACAAAACTTTTCTAAACAATTATCTTACGAATAACAACAATATTATTATTATTACGATCATTTGTCGTGAGCGCATCTACAAGAACACAGAACAGCCAAGGGTGACTGACTGTACTTACTGGATGAACTAATTAAAAACGCGTGTCCTTCATCCTGATGGCGCAATAATCAACGTGTGATGTTACCGCGCCGCGTATACAGCTGATCGCCGCCTGAGGTCAATGTATTATGATTGCATTTACACATGATGTTGCAAATTACGAAAACAAAAAGATTCTCCTGTTTCTAAACCACTGAATATTTTTTGTTCATATTTTGCAAATCGTCTAGAAATAAAGTGCAGAATATGTGGTTTAAAGATTCGTGAATAGAAAAAACACGTTGTATAAGCTAAATAATGGGCTACATCAACAATTTTAATATTCACCAGGCGCGGCAAATAAGTCGACTGCACACTAGGGTTAATATATTGACATTATCCTTACGCTTTAAATGGACAATAATATAATAAGTGTGTTGTCTCTACTAATATGTAAGAGGTCATTTAGAAAATGACAATAGTAAATATTATAGATAAACCTCTTAATTGAGTCCTCGCATGTATCGATTGCACCCGATAAAGGTGCAGTGGTAGGGCGAGAACGGGGACAGGATGCGGGCGGCAGGTGCTCGTAGTTTGATAAGAATTCGCCATCATACCGCCGCGCCCTACAGGGGCGAAGTCTGAATTAAGCGGTTTATCTACACGTTCTGGTTAGTTTAAAGTGATTATCACATTGCTTGGTCTATTAAGCTTCGTAAATTGATTGTCTTCTAGTCAGTTTTGACTTAATTATCAGATCATTTATTGTTCTACTTAACCGTTGAACGATATCATAGTCATTTCACGATATATAGCCACCCAAGCTTCGTGATGCCTATTTCCTTAATAATAAGACTTTTCATATCTTTTTAAAATCCGACTAGAGCCATACATACGTAGAGATGATCGGTCACAAGTAAGTCACTCCTATACCCTAGGAAAGAAATCTCCGAAAACCCTAGCAGGTCCTGGCCGCCAAATAAAAAGACCGTCAAAAAAAAAGACATTGCCTCCCGGTTTAGTCGTGTCACAGTCACAGGCCTGCTTCTGTTAAGGTAACGGGCAGCTTCACTCATTACCCGCAGGCCAACTAATAGCGATACAGCTAATAGAGGTTAGAATTTCTGCGCTCTCCTGTACCTGGTGCCTCTTCTTTGGGAAGGAAGAGTACTGGCCCTGTCCCGTTCTGTTGCCGCTACCGCCGCGCGGTTTCCCCCAATTTATGTAACTATCCACCTACTTCTGTTCCAGGAAAGAGAATCGGAAGATCTTTCAACGAGTTCGATATTCGGTAGTGCAAAAGCGTCACAGGAAGCAGATAATGTACTTATAATTCAGGTGATATGTCATTTTATACTTAAGATTGTTATTTTATATTTTGGAATTATTTTAATATACATATGTTCATAAAACATATATTTTATCAGGATAAAAGATTGACGGCAGTTCGCGGCAAGAAGTATTTACAAGTTGCCAAAAATCGATACAGCGGCGAATTGGGCATCGTACCATTAGATTTTGACAAAGACGCACTCAGTTACCAAGCAAAGAAAAAAACAAAGAAGTCGCAAGACGAACCTGACAAACTTTTAAACCAATGCTTTCAAGAATATTCAATAGACGAACCGACTTACATACAAGATTTCGATGAAAAACTATCTAAACGCAATTTATCGGGGAAATATAAAAATACCCGCAATACGGATCGATCTAGTTTTTTAAGTGATGTATTAAATTCAACAACATAGCATTTAAGCATAAGTCATTTCTGTACATACCTACATGTAATGTAAAATAAATATATTTATTAATAATGCAGTTATTAGTTTCCGTTATGTCGGCTTGACCGGGGTGATACCATGGCCTCAGAAAAAATCGCTGTTAGCAATACTTTAGTTGCTTTTTACCGAGAGAGATTACCGGAGGTCCAACCTTTGTATGTGTTTGACTGCCATGGTGGTGCAGTGGTAGCTTATGCGATTGCTGTGCTGAGGTCCCGGGTTCGATTCCCGGATCGGACCAAATGTTTGTGATCTGCAAATATTTGTTTCGGAGTTTGGGTGTTTCTATGTATAATATGTATGTTTCTATGTATAAAATGTTTACAAAGAAAAAGTAATTCTATCAATCAATCTAGCTTTCATTGTACAAGCTCTGCTTAGTTTGAAACTAGATGGCGTTGTGTCAAATTTCCGAAAAAAAAATTGTCTCTTTAGTTCCTCTACTCGAGTGCCATATGTATGTGCATATGTATAGGTACCTTAAAAAAACTTTCATCCGCTGGCATATTATTGTCGATTTTGTTCACATTTTTTTCTTATAAAAATGGCCTATGTGATACCACATAGGCCATTTATAATAAAAAAATATGTCGACTCTGATCTATCTATGTGTCAACTTTCCTTTAAATCCGTTGCGCCCTTCTTGTGTGATTGAGTAGCAAACGTCCATACATCCATCTTCACACTTCAGCGTTTAGAATAATTCTGGAATATGAAACTTCACAGAAGCTACAGGAATATTTACCTAATTCGATACAAAAAGATTAAACGTCACCTCTGTTGTTAAGCTGCAAACGAGACTAGTAAAAACTTTTGAATTTTAAGTCAATTGATTATCCAATCAAATTTTTATCGTAACTATAATAGTACAAAACACATACACTGTAACTCTCACAGTTAAGCTGCGATACTTTTGTAGCTGCCATTTAGTTGAAATGCAAACAGTCTATTGCAAACTGTATGTTAGGGAACAATTAAATAATACTCTGGGTTATTATAATTAAATAATTTTAATGACGCAAACCCAGCTGTGCGCTACTGTATGTAGGTATATAGTATCACATACTCTTTAACTAAACAGTAACTTACTGCTAAAATGTTAGTACATTTTACAAAAGTTTTCATAAACGACAATTAAACACTGCTATTCGCTCAGGTATCTGCATATTCTATAAAATATTTCCATAATAGAAATCATTCTAGCAATTATAGTAGGTATGACACTAATAAATCTTCGTTTAAACAAAAAAATATTTATAAAAATAAAATAAAAAAATAAAATCAAACAGTGCACAGCATTATAGTGGTGGTATTTTTTAAGACCCATCTCAACACATTGGTTCCTAAAGAGCACACCAAGAAAGGTTGTTTGATTCAATTGATGCCATCAAAATTTAACTAATTGTTTTGTCAGTTCAGATAACCTGATACTACATGCATACCTACTAAAATGCACTTGTACTTCCCGCAATGTACTTGACTGTCACAGAATTAAAAGACATCTCTTTATTCTCCCTAAAATACTGGACCTTTCACTTTGCTTCCTTTGCACATTTTATTGGCATTTTTTTTTTCTCAATTTTTTATAGTAACTTTGATACATAATGTTTTTAAGCCAATTTTTATAAGTCTTAATAACCAGAAAGCTTTATTAGGTTATACTTGAACTATGTGCATTGATATCTGCTATCCTTAAAATTTCAATTGTTGAGACATATGTTACTAGATGTTTCGCTAAATAAAATATAATTGATTTATAAAAATATAATTTACAGCGATTGAACTTATAAATACAAAATAGATTCACCTAGTTTACATATAAATGTCACATCACATTTCTAAATAAAAGACTAAGAATTTACAGTTAGTCATGTGATCTGTACTATTCCTTAAAGTATATGTACCTTCATTATTCATAATACATTTTTAGATATATTACATCGTTACATAATATTTATAGTCTTAAAACAAGTTTTGGTTATGTCACACAAGCTAAAACTTCAGCAGAACTACCAAGTTTTGTGCCAACTCATTTGTAATCTCTAGGTTTCTTTGTACATAATAGCTTTGTTACAGATACATCAAAATAACACCATCATCTTCCTTTAAATTGAATATATTTATTTTTTACAAATAATGCATGCTTTTTTCCTATGGAAACCAATCTATTCTATTTGACAAAATGAGAATTGACAGCTGTTATCAAAGAAACCTCATTAGAACGATTTTGCTTCCTTTTACATTTTGGACAAGGTATGTTAGCATTCAGACATTTGGAGTGAAACACACTAGAACATTCATTACAGCGATAGGTTGTACTCGTATCAAATGGATACAATATCTTTGGATCTCGACAAACCTCACATATAAAACCCTTTTGACTACAAAGCCAACATTCTAAGACATGAGTCTTAGCAAATGTAACAACTTTTTCCAGTTGCAATGCTAGAGAGCCATTAGGTATTTGGGCCAAATCCGATATTGTGTACAAATGCAAATGTTCATAGAGATACTCTCGTGGCCAAACACGCTTTTGCAATTCCTCAATAACATGTTCCCTACATGTGAAAATATAAGCTCTTAAAAAGTTTAGCTGTATCCTTAGTTCCTGTAACTGTGCCATATCAGAAACTCCATTGTAAATCTTTGGGTTAAGCTTTTTCATGTCTATCCAAGGATGATGTTGAAATTCTAACAAGAAAAGAGCAGACTTCTTCGAGACAGGATATCTTTTAAAATCCCAGTTGTGTATAACCCTGGCTGGAATTATAAACACATTAGGGTCCATGCAGTTGGAACAGTAGTATTCTCCTGTGTATGCACAAACTCTTGCCTTAGAGATAGTGCTGCCTAACAGCTCTCGACATCCCTTGCATTGATAGTTTTGGTGGTCAAGACCCTGTTCTCTTGATAGGGTACCGAGTTGTGATATCATTTTTTGCAATTCTGGCACTGTAAATGATGTTGTCATACAGTTGGGAACCACTTCGAAGTCTAGACACTGTAACATGGGATCTTCTGGAGTTACACTTTCCACATTTAAGTTACTAGTTATTTCAGCTTCATCTGAATTTAGTTTTAGTTCCTTATGAATATCTTTCATAATATCTCTTAAGTTTGGGGTGTTAGAATATGTTTCACCATAGTTATTTGTGTTATCTACAAGAGATGACAAACTTTTAAGTTCTGGAGTTTTTATCATACTGCTACCGTGAGATGAATTAGAGTTTATAGAGGTATTCATCTCATCATTGCTTTCTGCAGACCATCCTTTGCCACACAATGAATTACCAGTTACAACCACATCTGTGGGAGTAACAAAGTCCTCAGAGTCGGCTGAACAAGCTGACAGTGATCTCAAGTCTCGTGGCTCTTGACTAGATGATGGCTGATCCACCTCTAATTTATTATCCTCCTTTCCTAAATCTGTTACTTCATTTTTTTGTTCTATTGAAGGATTACTTGGATTACTTTCTGCTTCACTTTTATGCTGGTAATCAGTATTGGGGACATCTCTTGAACCTTTTGATAGAATAAAATCCAATGCTTCATCTTCGTTTAAAGCTAGTTGAGAAAAGTGTTCCAAACCTGTAAAACTGGAAGTGTTTGTGGGAGTTGAAGCCAGTCTAGGTTTATTTTCCTCATCAATTATAGTACTTGCAACATCCAAAGCTGCACTAATCGGAGCTTGTCTAATCTTAGGAACCCATATTCCAGCAAGCATCAGTACCTGTTCAGGCCAATAGTTTAACAAACTTGAATTTGTGGGTAAATTAAATTGTGTGCATGTCTCTAGCCCTTCAATAAGTTTTTGTGCCATCTCCAATATATCTGCATCACAAACAAAAGCTGTTCTAGTATAAAAAGGTTTTATTGCTGATATATTCTTTAGAAGAGTTGACATATATGAAGATAACAAACATTCATTCAAGGCTATTCGGAGCCACGCGCGACACTGACCTATTTCAGTGTTGATCTGGGGCAATGAGGATATTTGGTCAATATTTTGTCTGTGTGATAATACAAGTACCAAAGGCCAAAAATTGGGCTGCGGTTGCTGATCGGAATCACCAGTGAATGCATTTTTAGCCTTTTTCAAAAAAGTATCTTTCAAACCATGAAGAAAAACAGCCTCGAGTGCCATACATAATGTGTTTGTAGAATCATTTGAACCCAGTACACTGTGGAAGTTTTCTTCAAACTGGTTGCCAAATTGTATCTCCTTTACACTTTCCGAGAGGTTATTTATGAGTGTTTCTTTAAGTATTGAATCGCGACTACGAATCGTAAAGCCTGATGTTACGTTTTTAAAGAAAGACATTTTACTACGACGTTAAATTCTGTCGTCAGTTTATTGTGCAAGTGACAGAATGAACAAAACTACATTATCTCGTTACCATTTGCTTATACTTTGTCTGCGACCTTATTTATTTGTATTGACATCATTATAATTATCAAATTACAAAACTAAACAACTAGTTAGTTATAGTTATCTGTGCTAAACAAACCAGTCACATAAGTCACTAGTGCTGTGAAAACTCGACTATTCAAACCGATTTAAACCGGTTTCAGCATGAATCGAGTTGAATCTGTTTGCCTGTGGTTTAAACGGGTTAAGCTGTGTCATAAGATCGTGGAGCACTTTGCGTCGTACCATCGAGCACGCAGTTCCTGATTTAACTGATTTGACCAACTGATTCTGAACCGAGTCGACGGGATTATTATGTTCCTGTTATTATGTTACTACAAAATCGGATACGTTTAGTGCCCGTAGTTTAATAATAATTTAATACATAACCGTTCGAATCTAACGGACATATTTTTCTTATATCCATCAAATGAGAAAAAAAGAAGGCATGGTAATCGTGTTACTTGTCTATGTAGTTTGTTGTAATGCCCTTGGCTCTCAACAAACTACCAATCAATTCATACCGTCGCCGCGTCTGTCGTCGGATAGTATAGGTAATGTCAAGTTATACACTTGTATGTAAACTCGGTTGCAAACCGTAAAACGACGCTTTAATCGATTCCGTTGAATCATGTTGCTCATTGCTTTCATATGTTACATTGGTTCATCGTTCAGCGTACCATAGATACTACTACCATCGGTACGGTATTACGCAGTGGGAACTAAATGAACCTACAACCTATGTACCAATGACTACCTACTCAATTATTTTTTTCCGATGTTTGTTAGTTCACAGGTGATATCCTTTTTCTTTTCTTTTTCTTATAAAGACAACTCTGGCATTAGGAATTTTATTAGTGTAATTTTTTTATCAGGTATATTTTAAAAATTTCTTCGATAATTCGAAATTTAAAAGAACACAAAATGAACGATTTATTATTATTATTAATATACCTTGTAAAAGCTGGTATTAAAAAAAGTTAGTACACCAACATTTTTTTAATACCAGCTTTTAGAGCCTTTGACAGAGCGACATCTGTTCCGGCTTTGGATCACCACAATCCAACATCCCTTGCCCATAGATAAAACACAAAATACCATAAGTCCAAGACTCTTGCCTCTTGGTCTTATTTAGGTTGTTCTGTGACTTCTGTGGCCACTGGCCTTTTTATCATTTATTTGGGTTGATGTTTGTCACCAAGTTCAACAAATTATTATTTTTGTTTAGAAGTGAATAGAAAATATTTTCGGCTCACTTCATTTTGCTTTCTCTTGTAATTTATTTATTTATTTATCTATCTCTATTGTTGGTACTGTTCGAATCTTTGAATTCTTTAAGGGAATCCAACTCGAAACTAATAACATTCAGAAACTATTTTAATTCTAATAGGAGGTATAAAAAGGCATGTTTTATCTTTCACATATCGTATTAATTTCATATATTTCATGCAATTCCTATACCTTTGCGGAGCAATTTCCAAAGTCTGACAAAAATGGACAAGGTAAGGTTCAGATAAACTATTGGTATATTTTGTTCACAAACATATTTATAAATTGATGCGTTCGCTTCTAGAGCTACTTTTATGCCGTAAATGTGGCGCTGACGTGGCCGACTCTTATTACTTGTTCAGTAAACCAAGTCCAGGAGCTCATAAGACAGACAAACAGAATTTATTTGGGCGGCAGAATGTCACAGTGCAAACTTTGGTAAATCCATTTGGGATCAAATTTGATGTAGTGACTGCAGAAAAAGCAAGATGTGATAACATAGGACCTGTAAGTAATTACCGAGTGTTCAATTATTATATAATTTAATGAATATTTACCACAAGTACTTGTTTTTCAGAATCAAGGTGCAGACTCTTGGTTTCCTGGATACAGCTGGCGAATCTGTGCTTGTCCACATTGTGGCCAACACTTAGGTTGGACATTTGAAAAGTCCATTTCTAATAATATAGATAGCGATTCAAGTGATAATGTTAAATCGTTTCATGGACTGATTTTGAGGAATATTCTTGGTGAAAATTGTGAGTACTCTCTTTCAACCCATATGAAATCTTGCTAACTGTATAATTTTGCTAAGGAACTTATTTAATTTTTCACTTCTGATAGCAAACATAAGAACATTACCACCCTGACATTATATTGTTAAAACTTTAATCAATCCAGGAAACAAAGATGAGTTATCTTAATAATTTAATTTAGATTGATTTAAATGATTCAAAAAAATTGTATTGCTATACTGAAGTAAAATTAAATATTCTATTGAAGCCAATGATATTTTAAGGAAGATATGTTATATTCATACTGCATGCACAAAATATTTGTTCCGAAACCATACATACATCTATCAATTTAACTGTATGTGTGTCTTTATTTACCTTGTTTGTCGTAATTTGTGCACTTTTGGAATACACAGGAAGGTATTTTATGATTTTTTTTAAATTAATTAGTATGTGCGCTTCATCGTAATGTTCTTAATTAAAACCATCACGTTTGGTGCATTGGTGGTGTATCTACCTTGTTTGTATATAATATAATTGATTGAAACTGAATAGCCTCAATGAAATTTCTTGAAACAAATATTGAAAAAAGTCAATGCGAATAATATTTAATAAATGTACTTATGACTTGAAATTAGGGTTTAAAGATACTGTAGATTTTTCACAATAGACTATGCAGATGATCTGGCTATCCTTATCAGTGGTCCCATTAAGAGCGACATGCGATCCAACAAAGTTCGTTGAACAGTGGTGTGTAGCACACAACAAGTAAACCCATTGAAAACAGAGATGATTATATGCACAAACAAACATAGACTAGATAATCTTAGACTTCCCAAGCTATTAGGAACGCAACTAGCTCTTACCAAAGAGGTTAAATACCTAGGAGTAATACTGGACAGTGTGTGGAATAAGCACCTTGATGAAAAAACAAACAAAGCCTGCATTGTCTTCTGCCAATGCAAATGGCTATTTGGCAAAAGCATGGGACTTTCACCACTTACACTATGGCTCTACAGGACAGTCATAAGAACAATAATCACTTATGGTGCTATTGTCTGGTGGCAGAGAACAGAGCTAAGCACTGTCATAAACAAATTGCAGCAATTCCAGCGACTCCCATGTTCTGCGGTCACTGGCTGTATGCGCACAACGCCAACTGCCGCACTCGAGGTGGCCCTTGGTCTGCCTCCACTAGATTTGTTCATACAGCAGGAGGCCGCCATGGCGATCATTAGAGTCAAACACCTGGGTGCGTGGCATAAAGCTGAGGAATCGCACTCCAAACTATGGGATCAATTAGTGAAATTCGAACCGCTAATGGCAGCTCCATGCGATAGGATCCCTAAACACCATATCTTTACAAAGGATACTGAGATCAATTCGACATTAAAGTCCTAATTTACACGGACGGTTCCAAGACTAGGTCAGGAACTGGTGCCGGAGTTTTCTCGCAAGACCCAAATATGAAGAATAAATCACTAGCGTTAGGCCAACACAGTTCCATATTCCAATGCGAATGTGTTGCAATAACTTACGTCGCCACAACGGCCATGTCAAGAGGCATTAAGGACTAAGATCCGAAGACAGCACGGCCGTCCTGAAGGCACTAGAGGGCAACACAGTGACCTCTGGTATTGTCTTCGAATCCCATCAAGCATTGGAGCAGCTTGCATAGTAAATGAGGTACTACTCCAATGGATTAAAGGGCGTAGAATAATTCACACTGGAACGACGCCGCAGATGAATTGGCAAGGAGGGGCTCGGCAACCCCGGCCACCGGCCCAACCATGCTGCTGCCACTGCCTTTTAACCATCTTCGATCTTGGGTTAGACAGCTTACTCGTGAAACGCACAACCGAAGGTGGAAAAACTCATCCGGCTGCAGACAGGCACGACTTACTTGCAGACTGATCAGTCTTAGTAGACTAGATATCCGAATAGTTGCACCTAGCCAGGACACATATACAGGACACCTAGCCCTGAACCGACAACTATTCACCATTAATGCGACGGACAGTCCTCTTTGCAGAGGATGTCTGAATGCAGAAGAAACGGCCGCCCACGTAATTCTGGAATGCGAGGGTGTGGCCACACAACGGGCAAGTATCATTCCTGATACAAAATCGCACCTAATCACTGCCAATTTCGCCATCATTGTTCGAAGTTTGGCACAGTAAACATCTGCTGTTATTGCCTCACCAGATCTGAGAAAGCTATAGTGAATAACACCATGAAGAGACCACCAAACAGTGACCATTACTTTTTTATTGGTAAGCTTTGCTGTAGCGGACTGTTGTGGCGTTTGACCTGGGGTCAATGCATTTTTCACTTACGGTTATCGTAAACAATCCACTTTTCGTCACATGTCACAATATTCTTCCGATCGATCCAATATTCTTTTATTTCTGTACCGATTCAACAAGGCAACACAAGTTTCAACACGCTTTCTGCAGATCAGTCAAATCATGAGGCACCCATTTTTTATATTTTTTATCTTATTGACTTGATGCAAATGAGTTAATATTGTAGGTGGGGTAACGTTAAACCATGCCGCTAATTCCCGGGTAGTTTGACTCTGATCGGCTTGCACCATCTCCTTCAATTCAGCGTTATTCACTTGTATGGGCGTCTACCACGTCGTTCGTTCAACTCGAAGTTTCCATTACGAAAGCGTTTAAACCAAAAACGCACGGTGCGTTCATTAGCAGTTTCCTCTCCAAACGCAGCGTTGATATTGCGAGCCGTTTCTGCTGCGTTAGTTCCGCGGCGGAACTCGCATTCAAAAATAACTCGATCTTCGAAGTATCCATCTTTCACGTCTAAGCTGAATAAAAAAAACAATAAATCGATTGGTGCACATTTTTTTAACCGACTTCAAAAAAGGAGGAGGTTACTCAATTCGACCGTATATATGCTTTTTTTATGTTTGTTCGCGGATGACTCCGTTGTTTATGAACCGATTTTGATTATTCTTTTTTTGTTGGAAAAAAAGATACTTCAAAGGTTGTCCCATGATCAGGAAATCAGGGTTTGATGATGGCAGACCAGAGAAATCGAGGGGAACTTTCAAAAATCGTAGGGGCGACTAGTGCGTTTAAGTTTTTTTATTAAATCACTAGCTGACCCGGCGAACTTCGTACCGCCATATTTCATTATCACACGACTGGTATACAGTCGCGGACTAAGGATATGTCACACATCCGGTAAATTCAAATAAGTTGGAATATCAATAATTCTAGATATTGACATTTGATGCACCGAAAGTGATTAACCAGTCAAAACATGAGACAAAATCTTTCGTTTACAACATGACCATGTAATGAAATAAAACTATAATTAGTAAATTATTCTTCTACAGGTCAAAGGTCAGCTCGATGAATTTTTATGCGTACCGTTTCATTACTCGTCTAAACGAGGATAACCACTTTTTGAAATGCCGCCGATTATTTTGTCTAATCGTTTCCGTCTATCATTTGCCGTCTCAAGTAACCGTCGTTTCCTCATTCGAGAAGCATCCTTGCTCGGTCTACCCATCACTTAAAATCGTAAAAATAAAATATTTTTTAACAAAAAAAAACCGACTTCAAACAGTAAACTAAAAAGCAAAAAATAAATTTACTTCTCACAAAGTAATACGTATTTTCATTAAGTTAAAAGGAAATTATTAAATAATTATTTTATAATTTTGAAGTCGGTGCCAAGTCAATGCTACAACAACCTTACTACAATATCAAATTACTAAGTAAAAAAAATATTATTAAATATATTAAAGCAATTACAAAACAATAACAGTATTAGAAAAATATAAGAATCGGTACCTACTAACTTTCAAAGTAACTTTTTAAATATTATGTACCTAAGTACTGACTTACAAACTACTAGTAAATGAAAAATTAGATAACGAACGATCGAACGTCATACACGTCCGGATTGAACTGTAGTGGTAGTGGTAGTAAAGTAAAGCAGACACGATGTAGTTACTGCGCGCTTCGATTCGACGTAGATGTCGCCACTGTATACACATCGGTAGGCGTTGGATCAGATTCCTCGAAACTTTACCGTAACGAGAGCCGTTCTGTCACGGGACCATTTCTCGTATGTACTTCATACTTTTCACTAACACTTAACTAATTAAATAATATTTTATAACACTTATCTTATGATAAACTGTGTCAAAATTATATTTTTATGTACATAATGAAAGCGACTAACGTTTTATATGTAATTTACGTCAAACGATCGCATCGCATCGATAGCAAAACAAGAATAATAAGGAAGTACTGATAATTACCACAGAAAAGATATTTCGTGATAATTACCTACTAATATTACCTATCGTAAGTTGTTAGAAAGATTCATAATATCTATATACAGTTATTGTTTTACTTGGCACGAACTTCAAAATTATAAAATAATTTCTTTTTAACTAAATGAAAATACGTATTATTTTTTGCGAAGTAAATTTATTTTTTGCTTTTTGGTTTACTGTTTGAAGTCGGTTTTTTTGTTAAAAATTATTTTAAAAGAAGAACCACATAGGTATCATGTGAAAAAAGTTTCACACGAAAATCTCACACCATAAAGGTTTTATTTCAATTCAAAGTATTGATTACTATACAACGCCATTTCATACTTTAACCCCTATTATTAACTGTGGCATTCACAATTAAATCTGATCTGGATTAGTTCCAGATTTTGAAGCAGTTTATGTGAGCTGTTTGTTATATGCTCCTTTTTTTTTTCCGTGCGGAAATCCCCTCGGATACCACCTGTCGGTGGCATGTCGGACTCGAACCGACTAAAACCGCACGCCGTCTCGGGTACTAAACTCGCCGGGGAACCAGGTATACCCTAGAAAAGAAGTCCCTGGTGCCCCGACATACCTCGGGCCATCTACAACAACAGGTAGACGACCCCCCCCTTGTGGGAACCCCACGTTCCCTCTGCTCCCTGGAAGCGAGCGCTCTTCGCAACGCGCTCGCCGCCATCCCGGCCTGCTTCTGCTAGGGTGACAGATGGCCTCACCTGTCACTCCCAGGCCTGCGCTTATGGAGGACGGAGGTCGTTCTGCGACTTCCGGCGCCTGAGTCGGGCCTGGCGGGCCGGGAGAGTCCTAAACCTCTCCCGGTCCCGCTCCGCCGTCTCCTTCGCGAGCATAACTTGCTCGCAGAGTTCCACGCACTCTCGCTCCGCACGATAGCCGCAATCAGGCTATCGAGCGAGAGAACTCCCACTCCGATGGCCGCCACGAGGTCTCGCCTCTGCTCAACCCACGCCGGGCACTCTGCCAGCGTGTGGAGAGCCGTGTCCACGGTCTGGCCATCGCAGTGGTGGCACTCAGGCGTTGGCTCCTTGTGGATCAGACACAGGTGATCCCCGAAACATCCTTTCCCAGTGATCACCTGCGTCAGTCGGTATGAGAGGGTCCCGTGACGCCTCTCGAGCCAATCCTCCATAACGGGTCTTACCGCCGCGATGACGGCGTGCCCGAGTTGTTATATGCTCCTCTAATTCTAGTTTGAATTTTTATCTAAATAAAAATATTTTGTTTTCTTTTCAGTTACGGACTCTCTTATAATGATGCCTAAGATGTATAAAATGTAAGTTATATAAAATTGTAAGAGTAATGTGCACATTTCTGTATTATAAATGGATATCACCCTTAAACATGTATATTTCAATGTAAATGTGAGAAAGGACTGTAAGGATAAAATTAAATATAAAATACTATTTATGAATAGAATTATTTTATTTTCATATTTCTTATTTCTAATGTAACAAAAATATCTTAGACCTAGGATCAGTTTTAGCATGTTTGAAAGAACCAATATTGTCAAACAAAATAGGTAACAAATAGTTATCATTCATTCTGCAAATCACAATGTGAATGTAATGACAAAAAAAAACCTTAATCCTAATATTTTAATGATAAGAAGTGACTTGGTAATTGGGAAAGGTCTTGATAATTAAATCAACTTTAGTTGTTACTGACTGGAGTTTTAAATTAAGACATAAGCATTCAGACTAAAATCACTGCAACAACTGCTTTAACCTGTTGACTGACAGGGTCCCACCAGACATAGCAAAACACAAAAACATTATAGGCGAAAAAAACATAAAACCTGCCACTTTTTTAAGCATGAATCTGCAACTGTTTGGAAGACTTAACAATTGCATTAAAAACACCCAACTTATACAGTATGCTGTTCATGTTTTTATAATATGAGCAGATATTTATACTACTAGTAAACAAATACTTTTCTTAGAATTAAATATGAGGTAATACCAATCACCCTCAAATGGAAATTGTTTTATTGTAATAGATATTTTACCAGAGAAACATAGGCCATCATTTTAACTTTATGATTTCTATTTATTTATAAAAATGAATCACAAACTTAAGAACTGTTTTTAACATCCTGATGATTTATCTTCAATATTTTAGGATTCGATTGGATAGGATAGGATTGTATGTAAGCATTTACAAATCTTGAACATAGATCTTTAAAGTTATAAATGCTTACATTTACAAAGCATGTTAGCATGTTTCACAACTCTCTTGAAAAGTCCTCTCTCTAAAGAAGTAAACTAGAATATGCTAACAAAATGATTAGTGGACTCTATAGGACCAACTATATTCATTTATACAAACAGACCTAACATTTATTATGTAGATGAATAATCGGTATGAAGCAAATCTGTCTTGTCAGTACAATGTTCAAACATTATTTACTAATGGTATGAATTTAAAATATAGAACTTAAAAAAGTTTAATGTTATCATGGCCCTGTTATTTGAGAATGATGATCTAAGTAAATACCAGCCATTACACTCTAATGTAAGAATGTGTTTCTATTAGAGATCTGCAAGGATGCTACCAAAGCTGTGAAAAGATTTAAGTATTTTTAGGGAAGTGCAAGAGCTGTATTGAGGAGAGTTAGTGAAATCTATACAAATAAATAAAATTGAAGTGTCTGTTTGTATTATTAAAATAACCGCTTTTTACTAAATGCATACGTATGTTTACACGGTACATATGCCAAAATAACATTTTTTACAATTTTTGTCTGTCTGTCTGTTTGTTCCGGGTAATCTCTGGAACGGCTGGACCGATTTCGACGGGACTTTCACTGACAGATAGCTGATGACATAAGGAGTAACTTAGGCTACTTTTTTTAGACTAGCTGCGCCCCGCGGCGTTGCCCGCGGTTATAACAACAAACGCGGGTAACACCGCGGGTCTCAGCTAGTGAACTATATTATTGGCATTGGCCAAAATTGTTATATAAAACAGAAGTGTGGTCTCCTCTCGTGCACCACTCAGCTTCCTCACATAACTTTGGTGGAAATGAAATCTAATTGTTAAATTGCTGACAATTTAGTACAATGAAACTAAAATGAATAAAAGCTGTGGTGTGATTGATTAAGAATAAGGAGTGTCAACACCCCTATTCATCCTGTGGGTGTTGTAAGAGCCGACTAAGAGAGCAAAACTATGCAGAATAGCATTGCAAAAAACTTTCTAAGGATAGACCTATGGCCAGCAGTGGACTATTAAAGGATGATAATGATGAATTAAAACATGTGTTAGCAAATAACTTATGCAAAGTTAAAGCATCTGAAGATACTGCTATATATAGATATGATATTATGACGAGTTACAAAACTTTTAACTTGCTTATGCTTATTATGCAAGTCTTCTTTAATTGCTAGTATGGGCAGTGTACATAACAAAATTAGACAAAGTTATTTAAATAACTAAAAGAGTTATAACTCTTTTAGTTATAACTAAAAAAACATACCCTAAACTATAGTTTAGGGTATGTTTTTTTATATATATTTACAATAGGGTTGCTTAGGGTCAACTTGGACTAAGTGGCTGACAATGAACTAGTTATTTTTTTTAATTACAAATTTTTACCTTGAGAATGCTCAGCTCCATTTGCGTTGACCCTTAGGCAAGAATTGAAAAATGACGAGCTGAAGTGAGACAATTTGTTCAGATATTGTCTCACGAATTTTCTTTATCTACGTCTACTAGAAAAGAAATATAAAAAACAAGAAAATGTTTGTATATTAGTATTGTGAAATCATTTAGTGGTTGATTCAATTTCGTTATCTTATAAAAGTATTAAGTCATTCAGTTTAATAACTATTTATTAATTAACAAGTTAGTAGTTTGGTATACTACCTATCAATTTGTCACAAGAGTTGATGAATTGTCTATTTCCAGCTCCTCAGTATGACAAACTCATTTATGTAAAAAAAAATGTATGTACACTAATTTTTAATTATGTTTTTCATATTAAAATACTAATAACCTGTAACAGGCAACATTTTCCCCAATAATAAACAAAATGATTTACGGCCTTTTTAAATTATTGAATAATAGTACATAATAAATAAGTGGTATAATGATAGATAAGTCAGATTGTATTGTCTTTAGTTTGTAAGATCTCCAATAATTACGTACGTATTATCGCCAACGCCGCCTATAAATAATAGCAACACAAAAGTTATTTAGTAAAATGTCCGTGTGAAAGGTTAATAGTATTTTTAAAATCACCTGAATGTTTAATATAAAACAGTTTCTGAAAAAGATGATACAATATGGAAAAAAGAAACCATAAACATTCAATAAGCAAGCTCACACTTCACACTTGGCAATTTGAGTGATGTAATGTATATATGTTGTGTTTATACTTTCTAGGTCATCATTTTCTTTACTCACTTTCAATTGCACTATCATTCTTAACAGTTTAGAATGTTTAGTCACAATGTACTTTAAAAATCTGTATATATCACTATTTTTTTATACAACTAAGTACTGGCAAATCTCTGATGTAATGTCTGTTTAGTAACAGTGGGTACTACAGTGATATTCACTCCAGCTGGAGTTTCACCGTTTGAAGTTGTTACTCCATATGTTTTACCTTGAAGTGAAGCTATCTCTTTCTGCAGTTGAGCATTGAGAACATGTTTGTTAATAAAATTACGACCAACTCCACGATTACCGCCGCGACCTCTACCTCTTGTTTTAGTCGATCTTCTACTAGCATTAGACTGATTTGATCTATTAGATCTATTTGAACCCATAGATTTTACACTAGCAGGACCTCTTCGAGTGTTGTATCCTCCAAATTGATTATTTAATTGAGCTAGACTTTGCTTGTTCAAATAACCTGCGCTACCAACACTATTGCGACGTCTTTTAGCAAAATCGTTTGCAACACTAACAGTCAATTGCGAAGCTGAGCTATAGGAATTATTCCTTGACCGAGTGAAAGTTTGGGATCTTATAATGTTATTCCGTAATAACATATTCTGTCGGCGTTCTTTTAGAATTTGATCAGATCTCAAGCCCACTGCACTATACTGATTAGCAGTGGTTAAACCTCTTCCTCGTTTTGAAATTCCTCTCTTCGCCACAGCTAACGGTCTGCGAAGATTGTACATTCCCCTGCGCGTATTTACTCCCAGACGACTGTGTATTCCTCCTTGTATTTTCATATTTAAATTAGTTTGTTGGAGACGGTTATTCATTCCTCCTGAAACCAAAAGGTTAGTTAAATAAGCATATATTAGAGTAGAAGCTTAGAGCCTTGGTGCCTGTGTCGGGCCTCGAGTAGTGTTTATATGTCCAGCATACAAGCTTAGTCGGTTAGATGGCACAGGTACCTGATAAAAACCTGTTAAAAAAATTGGGGCTTGCGTAAATTTAATTCTAATGATTGATTCTTATATATGTTCAATAAAATATTATCACAAAATAAAATTGAACATTGCCATACACTTTCCACCAGCCATAACTTCCGTCAAATGCTTTAAAGCTCTTAAAAAAAATATTCTAACTTATATTTTAAGTTATTTTTACCCCTGATTTTATGTTATTTAGGGAACTATTTTAAACATATATTTGTTCATCCAGGAGTTCCAAATATGGAACATACCTCAGATACCAAAAACATTCAGCCGTGAGTATCAAGGCGACGTTACACAGTGGATCGTTTCATACAAGCTAGACGTCGGAAATTCATTATTTAAATACATAGTTATTGGTATGTTAGAATAAGTATATAGATATTAAGTTACTACCGAATTCAACTTGTACATACACCTAATTGTATATATAGTTAATAGTTCTATTACTTTTTTCTTATTATTATTAGAAGTTTTTTACACTTGTAAATTATGTACATATAGATACAAAATGTATATTATTTTAGTTAACTATTTATTTTTTCCAATAAAATTATTTTACTCGTGATTTTTTAATTTTTCCTTATTACTCTAGAATATTTTTTTTTATTTTTTTTATTGTTTTTTAAAAAGACAACTCCCGCACTAGGAATAAATCCTGTGTCGCGGGGGACTTTACAAACATACATAAAACGGACACAAAGTACACCCAGACTCAGAACAACAATTTGTGGATCACACAAAGTGTCGTCCCATGTGGGGTTTGAACCCACAACACTTAACGCAGTAGGAAGCGGCGTGGCGACCGCTTAAACCACTACGCCATCCGTGCAGTCATCCATCAATTAGTGCAGCCATCAATTAGTTTAATGGTTCTTAATTATTCCATGTTAAAAATCCTTTATTCTTCTTAGGTCATTAAAATTACCGTAAAGGTCCTAATTATATGGTATTAGACCATCTATCATTCACCTCACTTGCAGCATCATTAGCTAATGAGCCTAAAGGAGTAAATTCTCCTTAATATGCATTGCCAATCACTTCTAATGAGATTTGTTACTTATATAAATTGTAATCAATAAAATGAAAATACATAAATCAAAATTTCTAATGTCTAGCTTGTATAAAACGATGTAATGTGTGTTGTGTATAAGTTTATGTACCTATAATCCCGCTTTCTTCAAGAAAGGAAAACAAACACCATTGAATATATTAAAGGAGAAATATGAGTATCAGCAAGCTTTTATGGAATTGGGCGTGCGAGCGAGTCTAATGAATATTCTAATGACACTTACAATAATGACCAGGATGATTGAGACATTAAAATATTTTGAAATAAATAATAACAATTTCATATTTAATGCATGTTTTTGGCAAATTATAAAAATAAATATAAAATGAAATGCACATAATTTTTTATATGATGATATTCATGGCTATACAATATTCAATATTCATACCCTAAATATAATTAGAATATAAATACCTTTGGAATTAAATAATGGTAAAATAAAATATTAATTACAAAAGAATTTCTTTAGAAAGTTCATTACATAAGAATGAGGATGGAAAACTAATAAACCAAAATTGGTTAATATTAAATTGATGATGTTTTGTTAACAAAGTTTTCGTATGAAGACTTTTTATTAAATGAGTATAAGTAATAATTATTCAAAAAGGTGTTACATTTACAATATTAATAGCACTTGATGCAATGTGGCTAAATGTTTTTGGTGTCTGGGAGATGTTTGGCTCTTACAGTTGGTCTGGCTGAACAAATGTTTCTAATAGTAGTTCTAATAATACTTTATGGAACATATAAAAATCAATTATTAGCATTAAAGTTAAGTTTGCCCTATTTATTTTTACCTTTCTAAATTGGTACCTGTGAATTGACTGTCTAACTGACTTAGCTTGTATGCTGGCATTTACTGTACTTAAATACAGTATGCAAGGCCCCACATTTTATATTTTATAAAATAAAGTTTGTTTGTCTGGGGTCTAGGCTGACTCCGTAACTTATTTATATTAGTGTAAACTAAGAAGAGCTAGAAGTTTTGCAACCTTAAGTTTCTTTGTAATGAATTTCATGTTCATTCATACAATCAATAATCTAGGTGTTGACAAATTTTCAAAACCAGTTATAAACGCTTTTAAAATAATAAAGGAATGAAAAAGCCCACAAAGATGCAGCATTATGTTCACGATCAGAACCAGTCCTTGTTTTGATTGTGTACACAGGGAGCCTCATTGATGCACTCATTGATGCAGTAAATGAATAGAAAGTAAATTGTTACAACATTGTACAGAATTTCATAATAAATAAAAGTTTTATATCTTGTAAAAAAAAATTAGACAAGCAGACCAGTCTAACCTCCATTTAAGAAATGACAAAAATTGTTCTGTTTTAGGTGAAAATTTCTTACCTCTATTTAGTCTTCCACCTCTCCTCACAAGTTGAGGCATTTGCGATGTATCTTCTAAGCCTGCTCTGCCTTTTGGTGTCAAACCCCGAAGACGTGATCGAGATCTTGAAGCTGACCTAGCTCTTGAATTAGAGCGACGTTGTTGTGAACGAGAGCGGTTTCGAGATTGTGAAAGCGAGCGGTTGCGCGATTGCGAGCGTGATAGTGACTGTGAACGTCCACCAGGGCCCCGAGATCGAGATCGGGCTCGGCCAGCATTTGGAGTACCCGGTCTTGATTGAGAGTTACTTCGATTAACGCTTCCACGACCACGACCTCGGGGGCCGCCTCCTCTGCCTCTCCCTCTGCCACCGCGTACATTTCCTCCACCCCGACCGCGAGTATTAACTCCACCGCGTCCACGGGACCGACTCGCACGATTTTGTTTAATTATCTCGTCTAAAAACAAATAGATGATTAATAACGAATATCGTTTTAATTGGCGGACTGTAAGATGTGAACATTTAAATAAAAAGACCACGTTCCCTTACAATTACTAGTAAGAGAAGTAATAATACGATAATCACAGAATAATGGTAACTAATAATATATACCGAATACGTAAAGATCATTGCTAATCATCCCAAAATAGATTATTATTTCGTATGTTTTGGATATGCACATGCTATTTTTACTTACCAAGAGACATATTCACCGAATCAGACATGATACAAATTGATCAGTAGTTCTTTACACAGATTACGTATGTAAATTCTGAAAACCTCAACAAAATCTTCAGATTAATTAGAAACCTAAAGCAAACAGCTTATTCTTTTTATAACACTAACACTGCACTGCGTCACAGAACTCACAGATAGAACACGAATGAATGCCTCGGCATCGCGCCCTCGCACATCACAGACTCAATAAATTGTCAAACCAGTGCTACCAACTCTAAATAATATTTACCCAAAAACTATGGTCAAAAACCGCTAAAATTGCCATAATTACGTGAAAAAAAATAAAAAATATTATATAAAAAAGTCCCAGTTCATCAAATCTAAGAAGTACCATTTGACGATTCATTCTCTTCAAGACTAAACAACTTGGTGCTCCCGTAACTCACACAATTTGAATACATAACCATTTCTGTAAAACCTTGGAACTATGAATTTATTTTTATTTCATCACAAGATGAATAATACAATTCTAAAAGACTAAACATAAATCTTTTAAACAAAGCTATATAACAAATATTTACTAAATACCTTTTTTTAGACTTCGTTTTAAAGTCAAATGTAATAAAATCGAAATCTCTTAGTAATTTTTTTACAACTTTACTATCGATACCATGGATAGTATTAATAGCATCGACAGTTTTAGACTATCGATAGTTGTTTTTTTATGGTATTGATTAACATTTAATAGCAATGTAACAAAAGAGAATCTCGTAAACGCCACATAGTTACACAGTGTCTGTCATTATAAAATTTGTATATGATCTTTCGCTCTGATTATCAACCGTGATCATCAATTATTCGTCATCAGTAAGTCTATATTTGTGTCTCAAAGAACTACGTGTGATTTTTGTGTTTAAACTGATTAATATGACTCATGAAAATGCAATCGCACTGGCCATGGCCACTGACTGACCATTATAATAAATTATACTAACAAAAATGAGACGATACTATTACAGAATACACAACTATCAACAGTTCAAAACCATCGATACTCTCAATAGTAAAGTTGTCAGTGCAAATGGAATCGATGGAGTAGCGATTATCGAGGTTTAATCCTATCGATACTACTGCTAATTATCAACAGTATTAGTCTAGCTAACAAAAGTTAAACCTAGCTATTTAGTTAGGTTCAAATTCGTTGGCCAGACTCTGCCGCATTTGCGGCAAATTTAAAAAATTATGGCGAGGTAACACCGGCTTCAGCAGATTTTTTTTTTTTGATATTTTATTAAATATGCTAAATATTATTCAATTCAATTCAATTCAAATAGTTTATTGCGAATACAGGTTATTACAATTGGTGATAACATAGTTTTATCAGTTATAGTTATAATTTATTCTAAATATTATTTATATATTTTTTTTCTGATGGGGTAAAATTACCAATTGTATAGAAATGAGTAGAAGTAAAATGTATTTTCAAATAGTTCCGGAGATAGGTTTGATTTTTTTATAACCTCTAATTACTCGTATAATGTTTATGACTGTATATAATGAAATTGCAGGTCAGCTTGACACAGATGGAATAAGCTACGTTATCGTAATATTTTCAGGACGTTTTTTCAAAATTTGTAAATGAATCATTCGCCCGCGTCGCAATCAGCGAGCTCTGACCTCTTTAATTTCATTTCTCATCTCCCCATTCTCACCTATTTACGTTCCGTTTCTTGTCGTCTAATCACGACAGAAATCTTCGCTCTGCAAATAATTCGCTTCTCTTATGTCCCTCCCGCAATTCTGACTGCGTGAACTCTTAGTTCTTAGTTCAAGCAGTTCTACTCTGGAATGCGCTCCCGCTTGAAGTCAGGATGTCCACAAATCATTCAGTATTTAAAAAGAAGGTACATGACCTCCTTTTTAATGAGATGGCAGAGTTTTCTAATCGATAGTGAGCAACCAATTTTTGTATATTTGTTCAATCATGAACATAATTGCATCACCCAGCAACAGCATCTATGTCACACTCAGTGCAGTGTAAAGTCGATGCACTGTCAACATTTCGGCATGACCGAGATTAAGGCAGCTGCATCAACACAACACACGGATGGCACACAAGCAAATAGCCATCCATGTGTACATAGAGTAAAATTAGTATATAAGTTATACTTGATGTAAATAAATCAGTCATTTTGTCTAATCCAATTTTGACTCATTACCCTGTCCCACCTCTCACTGCCTCTCACTTTAGCCGTCAGTAGATCGGTCTTGTGAGTCTGCTCGACCGGCAGTGAGAAAATCATCTCCTAAACCCCGCTCCCTTCACGTCTCCGTCTGTTACCCTAGGTCTCCAGGTAACAGACTTAATCCGAACCAGGATTATGGGCATACTCGTCAATTAGCGATTGCATGGCTAATACAGTTAGAACGGAAATTAGCTAAAGATAAAAACTTACTAACACATTACAAAATGTTCCTCATGGAGTACTTAGACATGGGTCACATGAAGAAAGTTTCCAGAAAAAACTACGGTCAGGGAAAGTACTACATACTACATCAACCAGTGATTAAAGAAGAATCATTGACCACTAAATTACGAGTAGTGTTCGAATTGTTCGATGCATCATGTAAAACAAGCGCCTGTAAAAGTTTGAATAACAATATGTTTACGGGAGCCAGATTGCAACCAGATTTAGCGTCTATATTACTGCGGTGGCGTAAACATAAAATAGTATCCATGGCAGATATAGAGAAGATGCATCGTTTCATAAAAAAAAAAGACGTGTGGCACTCGGGGACTGCCGCGGTAAAGCTATTGCATAGCATTTTGTATCAACTTATGCAATTTCGTGACTTTCTTCATTAATAATAAATGCACTTTGTTCATTCATATTCAAAACACTTTATACACAAATTTTACAAGTACAGCTATTCACTGTTGTACATAAATACCTATACACCTATATACTTTCTCATAAACAGCGGCTTATGTATTCGTCCGATTTCGGAGCAGCTCGTCTCGATTCGTGCGAGCTTCGTAGAGTCGTACAATACGGCTAGCTGCACGCACACAAACACCGTGTCGAAGACTGCCGAAAAGAAACGACGTTAGATAATGCACGGCCGTGAGCGTGAAGTTTTTTTTCGTTACGGAATTTCTGTATTCGGTCCCCGCGCTCAAGGCCCTTGATAGAAGCTATGCAATAGCTTAATTTAAAAAAAAAAAAAATACAGACGAATTGAGAACCTCCTCTTTTGTGTTTTGGAGGTCGGTTAATAAATAAATGAGATATGACGTCCCAAAGGATACTGTAGAGAACATAGTTTACAGAGGAGTGATAGGTTTATTGGTTTTCCTGTAGCGGTCAAGAACATGCAGTCAAATAAAAATTGCATTGTTGACCAGCCATACAAAACTCAAACACGCGCTAAATGCCCTGCTAAATCATTCAATATATCTAGTAATATAATATGGAAACAACTATGTAGGCAGAATACATGGTTGTTTATAGTTAAAGATAGTACTGTTGTTTCAATCAGTGAGAAAATCATCTCCTAAACCCCGCTCCCTTCACGTCTCCGTCTGTTACCCTAACCAGGTAACAGACTTCCCGCACTATCTATATATATCCTCACAGCAAGGTCACATATTGATAGGGCTAGGGAATCTAGGGATTTAGGTACTTAGGCGTAGGTTACGTACGAGTATTGTTCGGTTCATTACGGTGCCCGCTCGATACACGTACTTAGGTTGTATTTTAGATAGGTTTTCGGTGTTACACGTAGGAGTGCTGATTGGTATACCAAGGTTGTCGGTCCGTACCCGTACAATATTCATAGTTTAATGTAAATGTACACAGTGTATATATATATGTTTGTATATTTATGTATGTATGCAGTGTATATTTTAGTTGATTAGTAATGTAACTTATGTGCGCCTACCACTCACGATTTCAACACCACCTAAAGGTTGACTGGAAGAGAATGCCCTGGGCATTAAGTCCGCTGATGTATAAAAGTGCATAAAGTTATGTAAATAAATAAAAATCATGAACAAAACGATTAAATGTAATGTTCTTTTTACTATTAAAAGTAAACACAACAAAAACAAAAGTGTTTAGACATTACAGTGACATTCAGTCAGACGGTCAGTTGAACATGGTGATTTTGAGACTTTCGATATTTAACTCTTATTTGCTTCAAAAATTTACGTGGCGTTATGCGTGTTTACATTGTTGATTTTTATCGCTACAAAATACTAAGCACATCTAATGTACTGGACAGTTATACATACTTATATCACTGTTCTACCAAATTCACACACACAAAGCCATCTCAGTCACGTGTGCGTTACCCCAGCAAAATAATGTCGAAAATGGTCATTTAAACGTTATAGATAATTAGTTGCCCCCCTTCTGTAATTGTTAAGCACATTTTTAAATTTGTTTCTCTTATATTTTTTTTGTTATTTCAAAAAAACATTTCCTGCTGGAGTAACGTTTGAAACGTTACCGCAGCCAGACATTTTCTTTTTTAATTGTAATATTGAAATAAATTTTAGCTAAATAATTAGTTATCTGGACTAGGTAAATGTTACAACTTATTTGGTATTTGTATTTTCTTCGGCTGCGAAGTTATTTGAAATCCTGCTGGGGTAACGTTTGTGGGTTTGCTGGATCTCTGAAACGGGTAAGCGGATTGTAACCATCTTTTGTACATAACTTCTTAAGGATTAGTTTTAATTTGTTCGACAATAAAATAACAAAAATAATGGACCGTTTAAAAATTATTTAGGTAAGTATGAAAACACTTCAATACTTCCTAACACGTTGAATAAGACCTCTAAAGACTTACTGTAAACGTTATTCTATTGCTTGTAACTGCCTTCAAATGTATACGAATTTTCGTTAGTATACTGTTAGTGACTAAAAAGTTATGATGAAATGTAGCTCTCCACGTTCACGATCACAATGTGTGCGGCCTTTTTTGGCCACCGATAAACCTGTCTGTGGATATATAAACTCAATGTTATACCAATAATTAGTTG